CCCCCCCCCCCCCCCCCCCCCCCCCCCCCCCAGCCACGTCCTGCCGACACGGGAGAATTCCAACCTTCTCCCATATCGGCACTGCGGCATAAAATAAGACAGGAGCACAATCTGGTAAAGATTCTTAGTGTCTCAGTGTCCATCTCATCCTTCGAGGTAGCGTTGCACGCAATACGGCACTATCCATAGGTGCGCGTTAGCTGTTACAGCTTTCGTCGGATCGAACCATGGAAGCTGAATATGGATCAGACGTCGAGATGCATGCACAAAAGGGAAGTTGGGGGAGGGCACTAGTGGGCGAGTGTCTGTACGATCGACGGGTTCATATGCGCTACCATTTCCTCCGTGCACAGGCATCACCTCGGCCTCGCCCCTCAGCCTTTGTGATGCGACTTCAGCTATAGGTGCAGCACTCACGCATGCGTATCGCCTTCACGTCGCTCACCCTCATAGTGATCGAGAGCAACTATGCACTGCACTGCGTGCTCGACCCTCTGTTTCTCTGTTTGAGCTCGTGCCCGTCGATATTACTGTGTAAATTCCTTCTCTGCATCGTCTCGGCCAGTAAAGACTATACTCACGAGCTGCCTTTAATACCTACTTTCGAATTGGCGAGATCAGAGCTCGTTGTCTCCCCGCATTTGCTGCTATGACAATTCTTCATCGGTCCGCCTCGCGCTCTAGTGCTGAGAATCGGGCGGATGTGCGCTCGTATTGAGGAGACAGACGAGGCACCAGGTGTGTGAGTTACTCAAGCTGTCTATTTTCTACGCTCAGACGCTTGCACGCTGCCGCTTCTGACCCAAACCACCCGCATACGCGTGTGAATATGTACCTCACTCTTAGATTTTACCTATGCTCCTGTCTTCTACTGTTTTACAGAGGTCTATGCCGGCCGGCAACCCCACTGCGCGCAGATACTGGATAAAGCTCAGATGACGGTAATAGGGCAGGATAGCACCACAGATCGCCGCCTTGTTAAGAAGATCCAGATCCACCTGTCGACAGCTGCTTACGATCTTAGCCATCCACCCTTCTAGGTTCCGATCGACACCGTATCCAATGTTTAAACGCATCTCATCTTACGCAACCTACACGATGCTCTATCGATCTCATAGTCTACTGTGGTTATTGTTATTCATCTTAGTGCCTCGCTTATCTCGAGCTCTCCTTTTGATTGACCCTCGGAATTCTCTTTGATCCTCAACCTGATTAATCATTAACCCGAAGGGCAACATCATATTAACAGGTTTTGTACCATAGTTTCAAATCCGCTCGACACCCCTATCGGTTTGGACGAGGCCATGTCCCCGAGGCTGCATGAGATCGAAGTGATGAACTGGATCGGCCCTTCCCAAAGCTGCGGACCCTCAATGACAGTGGCAGTCCGGCGCGCTGTTGTTGCCAGATGGGCTGAGCTTCCAGAAGTCATAGATGCACGCCACGGTTCCTCGGACTACACTTTGAGGGCTGCGTGTGCAATTTGGCGGACATTGGACACGGATACTGGTGGCATGGAGGCATGCTGAGACTCTGAGACTTGGTGTTCCAGTCTATGCCTCGCATATATTCGGATAGCCTGAATGATGTATTCATCAACTAGTGTGTTTCCTGGCATGCTGCCATGGCTGGGTATCCATCTCATCATCAATCTAATGCCATAATGCCTGCAATAAAAAGTAGATGCATGACCATGAAAGTGTCTGACAGATAGTATCCAGGTTATGGTTAAGGAATCATATAGTACATTTGTAACATAGCTTTGTTGTTCTTATGCTTTTTTGCACAAAAGGAGATAAAAGAGGTACTGAAAAGTAGGAAAAAGAAAAATTTAGGTTTGCTTCATGTTGAGCTTGGAAATATCAAATCAAACAGTACGTGATAATCCTATATAAGTTTTTTCACCTTACATCCACTTATTGTACCAAGCTCATACATAGACCCATCTTCTTCATTCACCTCTAAGCCTCTTGAAAAATTTGATTGTGCAGTATTATTTTTCTTTGTGTTTTTTGCTGAAAGTGTCTCTGTATGCTGTTTTGATTTACTGAGTATAGATCATAATATTATTGAAAGCATGTTGCTTACAAAAGGTTGTTGTCTAAAAGGAAGTGGTGACAACTCCACTGAGGCACCAACTGACTCAGAATGTAATGGCTTAGATAGACTTTGTCTTGCATTCAGGCTGTAATTATATTAACTCAATATAACAACTAGAGTAATTAGCTTACGTAGCAAGAAATGAATTTGCATATACTGTGTGAATAATTATGTTAGTTCCTATTAAACTAACAAAAGTATATTGAACTTACATTTACTCTGAATCTCAACCAAACCAGCAAATACAAGGCTGTGTTTCATTACTATAAACTGTGAAATAATCATCAGCGTTAAAATACTAAATAAAGTTTTTGTTTCTTACAGTTAATAGTATTGTAAGAGAAACAATCCTAGACACTGTCAAAATTGTGAGTTTTAAATAAGTTGCATGCTACCTACATGGTCAGACTGCCTGTATTTATAGCATATATCTGCACTTGTTTAATCAGATGATTTGTTCTGTGTTTATATTTAGTTAACTGTATATATCTCAAATGTGTATTTCACCTTTGGATGTTGCTGCGCCTTTTTTGCAAGTAGTAGGTAAGCAAAGCTGCAATAACAAAATCTGTAGTTGCATTGAATCCAAGGGTAACAATCAAAGCAACCTATGGTATCAAATAAGGTTTTATTACTACTATAGTCTAGAAAGTTAAATCTGACTGACCAAGGGTGCTTTAACCTCACGAAATTCTGCCCAAGTACCAACTTTAAATGATAAACCGGCAGCAACTAACATACATAATGTAGGTGTTTTGATTCATGCTTTTATAAGTAACATACCTAGTCCTATACCTGAGAAACTAAGATAAGCAATATAGCAGCATGGTATATAAAACTTACAGATACGACAAACTAAAAGAACAGTCTACAGTATATTAGATAGATTTTGATCAATCTTTTGTCAATTTACTTACTGGAATAGCAGTTATTATACGATTGTTTTTGCTTACTAGCAAAAACCTCGCAGTGAGAAACTGATAATACTTATCCTGTATTTAAACATACAAATCCAGATCCTATATATGAAAAAACTATATATATATGTTATATGAAAAGAAACACAAGCAAGGAGCTAGCATACCTCTGTACAACAACAACTATAACATCCTAGTCAAATTCAAATTAATAAGCATTGCCATAATTAGAAACAAAAATACACATACTCCAGTTATAACTGAAGCCTGATAGAATGATGTTGCATTATCTGAGTAAGTTGTTTACATCTGGATATGAGGCTAACTTACACCCATACTCCTTGAAATATCTTCAGAAATTAGTAGCACAGTTTAAGCAAACATTTGCTTTACCACACAATCTTTTGTATCAGAACTTGATTCCCAAAGGCAATAATGAAATACTCATATATCATATTCAGGCAGAATGCAGTGTGAGCTGATTCTAGGATGCTATATTACAAGTGAATATGAAAATATTGATGATATATATGTACATACCAGACAGCTAGAACCATTAATTGTATAACTCTTTTATCACCAGAGCTATTCCAGGAATAAAGATAGGCTTGTACTATCACAGAGCCATATAATCTGAAATATTTTAATCTTGAATCTAAAATCATGACAGCAATAGTACTTACATGGCAGCTATGAACATTTCAATAAGAAATGCACCCATTACATCACCTATGGTTGGATCCATTGCAAATATAGGCAGTGAAAATAAGCAGAGGACTGTGCTAGATGGGATGAGTGGGCTGGTTATATACCCAGTAACGTACTGGATTAATTGATGGCTAGACACCATTATTTCAAGTATAAATAGCAACGAGAATCATCAAAAACGGGGTGATGACTCTATATTTGATTAGAGCTCTATTTGATATTATTCTAGCAACAATGATCCTGGGATGAGATGCTTCGCAATTTGCTTACCAGACAGCCGTTGGACACATATGTGTTGCTTCCATGATGTTGACATGATATTGATGTATAGCTGGCTTCCATTCTTAAGCTGTGTGGCACCATAATGATATTCCATCCGACAGTGGACACCTTCCCAGCACAGATATTGAGGAAATATTATGATATCCTAGCTTTCACATTCTAAATCAGCTCGATGGTTAGGAGGAGCGGTCTTAACTAATGACTCAGTACACCAGAAAAGCGATCTGAATAGCCAGTCTGTGAGGTGCATTAGACTCCACCACAATCTGACAATATGTCTTAACGAAATCAAAATTGAAATTGGATGTGTCATGAACTGCTGGCGCTGCGCATTTTGATCATCTATATGTCAATGGACGAACTTTGTTGACATGTTTCGCAAAGCGAACTTCACCAAACATGGAGGCAGCATGGTAATCGGGGTAGTTTTTTTTCTGGGGCGCTGCTAGTGGTATTTACAGTGCATTCAATATATGGTGCCTCACGCGACTGCCAAGCTCAATGACTTGGGCGTGCTTGAGCCATGTAGCCCTAATTAAGCTAAGAGGAACCGTGCATGTGTTTGGACCGTAGGCCACAGCACAAACAGCGAGTACCAGACACCATTCTCGGAAGAGCGTCCGACAGCCTAATTCAGATCTTGAGTTAGAGCGGAGTCTGAGATCCGCCTTTTAGGAGCGCATTTCATTATACCTAGAAGGGTCTGCGATTTGATGCACACTCTAGCATTTAGATTTGTTCTAAATCCCAAATACGTAAGTATCTTCATAAGCATTGTCCGAGTCCTCTAAGCTGAAAAATAAATTAGAAATAAGGTTCAACGGGGTTTTGCATCGAAGATCGTAGGCTGCCAATGCCACAGTGTGCTTCTCAATTCAAACCGGCCTGTTCATTCCAGTGTGTGAATTCCTGGTCCATCGGAATGATGAGGGGGAAAAGATGAGTTCATCAGTCCCTTGGCGGCTACTAGACTCTGGAGTAAGCCAAACGTTTTTGACCAGTTGAATGTTTAACCATCACGAACTTTCAAATTTCAAAGTTAGTGATCATAAGGGCTTTGAATTGAGTAATTGCCTGGCATGCCCAATGGTACTGGGTACTAGTGCCGGGGATCGGGTAGTAGTCTGCGGTTGCTCGGAACTTAAAAGGTGAAATTGACAAGCGAAGCTGACTGGCAGACGCATTCGGACAGTATGCATACAACGGACAAGTCTCGTCAGCTTCGCTCTCTCATCCGTCTACTGACTGACGCCGCTGAGGTTGTCATTAGAGAATGGGATGCCCCGAAGGTTGCGCCACTCAACATTGGATCTCAGCTTCCCTCACAGGACATGTTTGAAGCACGTCGTATCATACTTGGAGCTTGTGGGATGTGTGCGGACCTAGTGCAGGATCCCCTCAGTCGTCTGTCAGAAATCACTTGTGGCTATATCCCGGCTCGCGCTTTGCATATTGCAGCACAAGCATGCTTATTTGATCTGTTGGCTAGTGCAGATCCAGTTGAGGGTATTTCCATTCACGAGATCAGCTGCAGGACAGGTATCAATGAATCTAAGCTAGGTATGACCCATGACTTTACTTACATGTAGCCAGCTGACGGCAGCCACCTAGTACGCATCCTCCGCTGCCTGTGTTCTATTCATGTCTTTGCCGAGGTCAAGTTGAACCACTTCACCAATACCCCCACTAGTGCCGCGGTAGTAGGAAATGAGCCATTTAGGTCCTGGATTCTAATTGGGTAAACTTTGTCTTGGTTGAGTTGACAAGTTGCGCGGAAATGCTCACTGCATCTGTAGTGGAGCCGAAACTTTTGCTGCATCGTACAAATTGCCTGCCATCATAATGGACCCTGTAAAAACTCATTCACTGTCTCATCGCGAAAGTGCACTCCAAGAGGTTCTTGATACAAAATTGACGCTATGGGAATACCTGGAGACAGGTGTCTCGCAGGAGGATGGCACTATTGGACCTCGGCCGGAACTGCGAACATGGTCTCTTGCGATGATTGGAGGTGCACAAATGAACGGGCCGCCTTTATTGTGTGGTGCGTAAAACATATATCATGATTTAGGTGAACTTTGCTTACAATGGTCATTCAAGACTTTCCTTGGGAAAAACATAATGGATGTACAATTGTAGATGTTGGAGCCGGTGTTGGTGAGCATTCTTCAGTCCTGAAGCCTGATCTTTAATAAATCTGTATTTCCAAGGATCTATGTCGTTGGAACTTGCAAAGATTATGCCAATCACGCGATTTCATGTACAGGATCGTGGTGCTGTTATCCAGGACGCTCGTGCCATCTGGATGCGCGAACTTCCAGAAGCTATAGGAAGTAACCGAGTAAACCTAATGGCACACGACTTTTTTACAGAGCAGCCCATCAAGGGAGCCGATATATATCTTTTACGCTACATTTTGTACGTACGGACCCGTAATATTCATGGGTTTGTGTATCTGACACAGCTGACATAGGCATGACTGGCCGGACAAAGACTGTATCACGATACTCAAGTTGCTTCGGGATGCGATGGCTCGCAATTCGTGCCTTCTTGTTGCCGATTACCTGTTAAACACAACCATCGGATCCTCACGGTTGAAATCAGCCCCGCATCCTCTCCCTGCAAATTACGGAGTCGCTCAAATTTTTTCCAACATGCATGATCTCTCAATGATGTCTCTATTCAATGGCATGGAGCGATCGCCTAATGAACTAGAAGACTTGGGTCGACAGGCTGGCTTGGAAGTAGTTAGAATATGGGAGTGTCGGGGATACATGTCGATTGTTGAATTCAGAAGGGATCTTGATTAAGTGTTGTATAAGCTATATTTTCCTACTAGTACGCACAATGACACTCCAATTTTAAAAGAGTACCAGTGGATGTAGTCATCAACAAAGTGTGAGAATAATATATACCCAAACAGATATTTAATAAAGTAAGGTTATGTACAGACCTAGACATATATGCTCAGATATGCTTGGGATACGGATTGTTGTTTTGCTGATAGGCGGATCTAGCTTTGCGTTTTTGGCTGCTGCCGCTATCCAGGCACTTGCGCACAAGATTGAGGACTGCGGGACGGCAAAAGGCGGGAGTTTTGCGGGGCAAGGGTGCAGAGGGTGAGCCCAACTGAGAGGGAGGTACGTATCTTCGCGTGTATGCGGACAGTCCATGTCAAGAGTTGCCAGAGTAGCAGCATACAAGCCTCTGTGAGCATAGGAGATGAACAGCGCAAGTCACTCACATCGCCGGTGCCTCGCCGGTCTGAGGCCTCCTCAATACGAGTGTGCATTTGCCCAATTCTCAACATTTGAGCGCAAGGCGGACCGATGGAGACTTATCATAGAAGCGAATGGGGAGGCAATAAGCTCTGACATCGCTGATTCCGCCATAAATTAGAGTGGATAACTGAAGTATTTCACTGACGTAGCGCGCGTGAAAGTAGCCAAGACGAGATCAGAGGAGAAATCTGCACAGCGAGACCAAAGGACATGAGTCTTATGCGAGCACGGGCGACGCAAGCGGGTACTGTATGCGAGAGTACAAAACCTGCCGAAGGGGAAGAGACTGTTGTTACGGATGATGGTTGAGAGCAAGGAGCGAGAATAATATTTTTTTTTTCTAGACTCATAACGTCTAGAATATATACGAAAGGATTTACTTCGTATGAAAATATGCGTAATGTTGTGTGGCTGACGTTCAGCCACACGTCACATGCTCTCGGCTTGTCCTTTTCCCGGACTGCTTCGCAACAGGCGGGGACTGGAGGACGAGTTGGTCGCTGCGCGCGGTGTTGATGCCAAGTGAGAATACTGTAACGCACAGACTACAGACCCATCAACTAGTTCAGCTACTTAGATCAGGATGGATGTGTGTGAACGGTGACTTGAGGTTACGGACCATGATACACATTAGAGTGGCAAATACGTCCCTTGCTACATGGATCCTCTTGACATGTCTGGGGACCCTCGCGACTATGACTAGGTTTATAGGAACGGGCTGCCTGAAGTTAAGATTCTCTCATTCATCTGGGTCAATGTCTAGATCCCTGGAAACGTCCTCCCACAACTCCATTGAACGACATAGCTTTTGCAAACTTACTCGTGCGGCGTCATAGCTGAGACTCCCCATAAGCAGATATAGGGGGAATTCCTTCCCAGCTGCCTTTCCCTCTCCATTCACGACATCCACCAATAGTTCCATTGCTTTAGTTGGATCTCCGGAGGCTCTCTCCCAGCCTCCATCAAAATTGGCTAACGCTTCCTTTCGAAGAGCGTCATATTCAGGTATGCGGTTATCCACAACAAGTGGGCCAGCATGTATCTTCTCTGTGCGAAAGCCCCCCGGGCAAATGACCATCACGCGAATGCCAAAGTCTCTCAACTCGGCAGAGTACGTGGCTCCCAAAGCTACTGATACATTAATCAATGTTTTCAGACCCAAAATCAAGGGAAATTTCGCACAGTGAGTAGCTGCTTTCCAGGCAGCGTAATAGCCTGTCAACTAGAGTCACATTATCAATAGCCTAGAACCATCGCAAACAGAATACTCACGGGCACTTCAGGCTTCCAAACAGAACGGCTACCCAAAAATATGACTGTTCCATCACGTCGTTCTCGCATGCTGGGAAGAACGGCATTTGTGACATTCAGCGTCCCCACAAGGTTCATCTGGAGCTGTTCAGTGTAAAACTCGGATCTAACAGGAAGTTTCAAGCCTTTGATTAAACAAAATGTAAAATTGGCACACACCCGCCTTCCCCAAGCAGCGACTTGGGAGCAGTACCCGCATTATTGACAAGTACGTCAATGCGGCCCCATCGTACCAGGACCTCTCGAACCTGATCTCGGATGCTTTGCGGAGAGTCTCGTAAGTCGAGAACAAAGACTTGTAAGCGAGAAGATTTTGAATTAGACACCACTGCTTGCACGTCTTCCGGCTTCCGAACAGTGGCAACCACATAGTCCCCCCGAGCAAGAACGATGGAAACAAGACGCTTTCCAAAGCCCGTAGAGGTCCCTGCACATGATATTTGATCAGTCTCCGCACATGGTGGATGAGGACGCGGGACTGAAGAAATGAGGATCATGACAGAGTGAGAAGTGAGACAATTGAAGCTAACTACAGTCGACTAAAACTCAGTCGTGACTAGTGCTCAAGTTAAATGCTCCATTGCGTCACGGAGGAACATTGTCTGTATGTAAGTAAACTTGTACAGACCAGTGATCATCCACACCTTTTTCTGTCGATCCAAACTTGCTATTGAAGACATAGGGTTTAGATTATGGTCTGAGAGGAGTGGTGTCTAGAAAGGTGAGTGTCGGAAAGGATTCTGGATAGTCATTTCACACACGTTTGAGCGGTAATGACAATTGAACTCACAGTAGTTTGAACTTGTGCAATGGTTGGGAGAGTCCGAAGGAGCTATGCTCTTGCCTGATTCCTACTCCGTATTTCAAGGCTGATTCATAGGCATGGAGATCTGTCTCTCAATCTGTCACCCTATGATTGATTTCGATCCACTACAAATTTTCTTTATTTGTATGAATTCTTGAGAATATGACTTGTATCGTGCCGAATATGGATGGCACATCTTAGGCTCGTACCCAGCCGATCTAACTTTTGAACTCTGCTGCGAAAGCAGCTCGTTCAACATCAGAATGCATTCACTTTGAGCTCCGACTTCCTTTTTTACAGATGCCCTCGACGAAAGCGTCTAAGTCCGATTGGCATGCGAGTCAAGGCCACCTGAGTGCGAGTGAGAACTCGAACTTACATACTTATGTTGATCGAAATTGCAAATAAGTGGTATTTCACTGATACAACACAGATAAGATAATAATGCAAGTATTGTAATCAAACGAACTCTCTGAGTTCGCATACCACTTGAATAAAGAATCTCGCAGCTGGTCCAAAATATAAGTTGAGATCCATTGACCGAACCAAACCTGGGAGACTCTACGATATGTACCGTACGAATACAATTTCGAACAATCGCCACTCGGCTCAACTATTTGGCCGCGATCGATCTTGACAGATCATGAGAAAGGGAGGGAGACGACAGAAGAAAGAAGGCAGTATTCTCTGTCTAGCTCCTTACCTTTGGAACCCGCTTTTACTCTGACCATCTTCTTTCTGTTGGCGAGCGCATCTGTCATAATATGCATCAACAAATTGATATGATTCTCCTGAAGAACTTGACTGGATTTTTGGAGTGCTGATGAACTTGTTGTAAATAGCTATTGCACTGTTGAACATCACCAATTGATTTCGTAGCAGCATGTCTGGGCACCGAACGAGTGGCTTTAGTGGTTGGCTTGCCGTTGACTCGCATGCCAGTCGGACTTAAAACTCGAAGTGCGCCAGGCGCTGGCGCTAGACCTCGCACGATATAGAGACACTGTTTCACGGCCGACACTGCTCGTGTTGGTTGGAAATGTAATTTAAATGGTCCATTATTTCCATTAAATTAATGCTGCATATATATATTCGCGTGAAATGTTAGCATAGTGACTTCACAATTCGATCTTTGTGAAGTCAGTGCCACAGCTATGGGCGCTCATTGCCTATTTAGGCAACTATTCTATGTACTATCATCTATGTTATGATGACGAATCGTGGATATGAAGGAGACCGATGCGAGATTGCGTTCCCTGGTAGGATAAAGCAAAAGAACAGCAAATCACACGACATTATGTGCCCAATTTCCATTTTAAGGTGACAAAATGGACACCGAATTATGCCCGTGGAGAGACCTCTCTGCGCTCGGTGATGCACTCATCCGTTTTCGTCGAAGGCATCTGGAAAAGGAAATCGGAGCTCGAAAACGCTAGTAAGCTAGTGCGGTCCTAATGCCTCAGTGAATTGATGAAGTGTATCAGTGGCAAAGTCTAGATCGGTAGTGTCATGATTACACAGGCCAAGTCTCTCATCAAAGATACTGAGTACAGACCATATGCCTCGCGACTCGGGCTCGGTCGCGTGCATCAAAAGAGTCCCGAGATCATGAGTTCATCTAAGATGTGGAAGCTCTCCATGTCGCAATTTTCGCATCGTCGTGGAAATGCGTTCCCAGTCATGAGGTGAGAATTACATATAACATTGTCCCTGTCACAATCCGAAGCTGATATGACTTATTTCATCTTTGCAATGGTTTAGCTGTCAATTTGTTTCTCTGGCAGATATTCCCGTCGATGTAGAGTTGAGGGCAGCATCGAGCAAGTCGCCCCAGAGCGTAAGTTTCATTCCCTCGCACGTTCTCAAACTGGTTGATTTTGGATTCATTGGATGCGGACCATTCCTCTTCAGGTCATTTGTTGATAAATTACGTTTCGAATTCGTGTATCCGTAACTGGGCCATGTAGGATCAAGGAAGAATGTGAGCCTTGGATTACACTCCTGGTTTCTAGCCTTTGCCGTTTTCGCAGCAACAATTAAACATACTACAAATACTGCGATACTTGCGTCTAACGACTCATCTTTACAGTATCCCCTCACTGTCTTCAAATGTCCATCGAACGTGCAAAAAGGCAGTATCAGTCCTTCCCTGGATCCCAGTATATACTCCCATCCGACATTATAGAAAGGGACCGGTGAGTCTTCTGTTATTCGACTGGATCAAGGCTACCGTGTAACTCTCCTTCAGACTGGCCCTTCAGCACCGCGTTCTGAAACAAGCTCTTGAGAATCAGCTGATCCGTCCACCTGTTTCGCTCAATGCTGGAGACCGGATTCTCGACAGTGGGACCGGATCTGGTAAGTCTGCTGGTCTGTGATTCGAATCTCTCAAACAGGCAAATATTCAAGTACCTATCAGGAACTTGGTTATTGGACATAATCGAAATGGTGTCGCCAGACGTGATCCTAATCTGCATCGACATTGAGCCCCGCCTTTTTCCTACGACTTGTCCTCAGGTTATCTCGCGCGGAAAAGTGGACTTCAGTGTTTGTTCGATCACCAAGCTACCCGCGGACTGGAGCGAATCATTTGCGTTCATCAATCAGAGGCTGCTAATAGCTGCTTTACGCACAGAGGAGTGGAAGGAGGCCTTTGAAGAGATGCACCGTACACTATTACCAGGAGGATGGGTTCAGCTCGGCGAAATTGGCACGCTAAAGTGCGGCCCGGTGACTGAGAAATATCAATCCCTTCTTCGGGCATTATTTTCCTTCAGGGGATTAGATCTCGATTGCGTCATGCACATTCCTCTGCTACTGAAGGACACCGGATTTACCAATATCAGCGTGAAGAAACACTCTATACCACTTGGACGATGGGCGGGCGAGATGGGCATAGAAGCCCGCGACAATTTTATTGGAGCATACGTGGGGATGAAGGATGCTATATTGAGCGCCGGAGGGTTTGGATTTGTCAAGACTGAGGTGGAATTGGACGCCTTGCATCTTGCACTGGAGAAAGAATGGGATGAAACCGAAGGCTCTATTATTGAATACGTAGTATTTTGCGCTCAGAAATGTACACTGTGATGCAGATTCGGTTACGATCATCTGCTTTATACATCATTGTGACAAACTAGATGTGTTTGACATGTGGCTTCACCTGTACCGGGCCACCTCCATCATCGACATGACTCCACGATATTCTGCATGATAGGGCTCCGATATAAATGAGCTGGACAAGTCGAAGCCAAGGCGTTCGGGTATTCCAGGACCAACATGGGGAGGCGGGACGGTTTGCTTGGCTCAGCGAGGATCCATAGGAGAACAGAGGCCAGTAGCAGCAGTTAGAGCACCCAAAAATTGTATGAGAACAAAAGGGTGCTTTATGCGATACTTTAATTAAGGAATTGTGAACGCGATATGCAACACGCATTCCAGCGCGGCTTAGCATAACAATTGAACTTGACCGCAAATTTTTTGAAGTAGACTTCATCAGCAAAGTGTGAGATCCTAAACCTCACATCACCAATGTAGATAATCAAAACCAGAATTATTTAGCTTACCATTCTTATAACCACAGTTATCGGCTTTATGATATACCGACTTGAACTTCTCATTCAGTACAGTGCGCCGAAGATGCATACCTCTGGCGAAGAATGACCGCTCAGACCTCAAATCTTGTACCACATTTCGCTCAACATGTGGCGCAGTAAGTAAAGAAAAAGGCCTTCGATGCCGATAGCTGTGAAATTATCGGTCAGCCATATACGGATCTCCCAGCCAGCAGCTTGATAACTGCAGGCAATCAGACCTGTGTCAGCCGAGGTCAAAGCGCTTCAGATGTGAAATTTAATTTAAAACGTCCCACTTGCAGCATCCGGATAGGTGACAAGATTACAGTCTGAATGTGCGTGTACTGGGTCATCAAGTAGATACTCCAGTACATATATTTCTCGGCAGATTCGTCAACGCCCATGTACAAAGACACGTGCATACGTGACGCTAGTCCGCGGCACGAGGAGTTAAGACCACCTCACGGCAACACTACGCAGCAGCGACTTACTTCAGATACGAATCCGAAGCTTGCAAGCGCGAATTGAAGGAAGTGGCCATTATACTCACAGAAGACCACGGCGACCCCTTTCTAGTAGGCTGGCCGGCTTTCCCCCGGACGTTCTTATACCACAGGGACGTTGGTGGATCTGTCGCAACTCGAATAATCTCCGACTGTAGAGCTTCTCCTGTCATCGCTTTTTGAGTTGTCTCTGTATCCGCGAATACTGGAAATCTTGTGGTGGTGGTCTATCCTTTTCAGTGCGCTCTCTTGAAGATGATTAGCTTGTACCCTGGATATAAGCTACTGCAAGCTGGTGTTCTGGGATATGTTTTTCTGGCAGTCTTGTACACAACCCATTTCATGTTAATGTCCTCTCCCTCTGAACTTTGTGTAGCGTTTCTAGCACCGCTCTCTGCTCTACTCTCGATGGTACTTTCAGCGACAAAATCAACCACAAAAATACAGTCATTGTCTTCTCTTGCGATCCCTGTGGACTTCTCGGATGCTCTGTGGCCTGCGGATCTCTCGTCTAGTGACTCGCCGCTTTATTTTCAACCCACGACACTCGCATCCAAGTTCGCGATGAACAACGCGTCTCAAACACCTATACGTGAAACTACGTTTCTCAGCAAGGCATTTTCGGGCGCCATGCATCCAACCCGCATTATTCCGTTCTACTATCGTGCAACAGGCTATGCCGACGAGTCAGATGTCACCATCACCACGCTTGTCACGGCAAACCGTTTCAAAGTTTTTAGGCAGCTTGTTGAACGATATCAAGGTACGTGCCACTGGAAATTTTCCCGGAGCATTTAGAATTCTAAAAGTAAGCTCATGCTCCAAGGGCCAATCTCGGTGACAATCCATATCCCCTTCCCTGCGCAGGCATCACTAGCTTCTCTGCCCTTAACTCACCCGTCTGTTGTTGCGCTGCAGCGTCTACATACCCTCTACACATCCTCGTCACAATTCTCGACATATGTCGACGTCCATCTCGCTCTTTCTCCTTTCGCAGCGTCCGCACATCCCGATAGAGGCCATGATGGTGAAGGCGGAGATGACGGAGAGGGCGAAGGCGAAGGCGAAGGTGGCCGACAGTTCAACGTCTGGCGCAATGTGGCGCGGCTCTTCGCGCGTACAGAATTCGTCATGATGCTGGATGTCGATTTCGCTGTGTGTACGGACTGGCGTGGCGCTGTGCGTGATGCCATCCGTCGTACGGAGGCGACGTATGTCATGGGCCCCCGCGGTGATCACGCTGAGGATAGCAAGCAGATTGATCTTGGCAGCGCAGAGCTCGTGCGCAGATTACGAGAAGGCCATGCTGCGCTGGTCGTCCCTGCGTTTGAATATATGAAGCAAGAGGACGGTGTGAACCAGATAAATTTTCCTACCAATAAAGAAGTAGGAGACGCTTCATTGGTCAAATCCTAACTAGCTGATCGTCGCCCAAGGAGCTTCTGCATCTGACACGCGCGTCTCCGCCAGTTCTCACATTGTTCCACGCGGCTTGGACACCGGGGCATAACAGCACGGACTATGCACGCTACTATTCTATACCGCCTGGGAGCGGAGAAGTGTACAAGGTGACGCAGTATCAGAGCGCGTACGAGCCTTATGTGATTATCAGCAAGCGGGTCACTTGGTGAGCATCTTGTCTTCGAGACTGCATATCACCATTGGCTAACCCTTATAGGTGTGACGAGCGCTTCACTGGATATGGTGCGAACAAGGCAGCGTGCCTGTTTGAGATGTACCTTGGTGGCGTGTCGTTTTATGTACTTGCAGATCATTTTCTGATACACCAGAGCCATACCTATGAGGAAGAGGCGAGAAGAGAGGAGGTACGTTGTCTTCCATTTACTCGTCGGACTTGATTCAAAGGATAGTCAGAGGAAGTATAATAGGAAGTTGTACGCAGATTTCAAAGAGGAGACATGTCTCCGGTGGGTCTTTTGGGCCCTTCAAGCTTGTGTTGACTTTATGATGGTAACCTCACATAGCTACCTTGACCGATACTCGCGTTCCGGGCTTCTGCGAGATGCCGTAAGTTTCAACACTCAAGACGAATGTAGGAAGATCAGAAGCATTGCACGAATTGCAGCGCAGGTGAGCTGGTATGATTTCCTATAGTGGCGCGCATTTTATGGCCTTTCTCTCCGCTATAGGTTCTTGATGCACAAGTACAACATTGATTGATAGAAGACTTGGTCTCGATTATGTCGTGTAATTTTGTTTCCCGTACTCTCAGCTTTCGTTTGTTCTCCTGCAATGTGAGGGAGAAGACCAAGTATTTTGAGTTTCTCGCCGCTACTCAGGGTCTTTAATCTGAACTGCATGAAGCTACCAAGTATGATGTACGGTGTGTGTGTAGATTACGTTTTGTAATCAAGTTGATTGGGGGTCTCCTCATTCAATTGTAAGTATGACCAAACGTCGAAACTGTCTGCATCAGAGAGAGAAATAATACTATCCCGGTTCAGTTGCCTAGCCAGAGCTTTACCGTCATCTGATAAAACATCTCCTTGACATTCGCTCGCACCTACGAAGGCAAACTTTATAATAATCATTGAGAATAAGAGAAGTAGGCATGTGGTAAGGTGGGAATAGCTGGACGGCTACGTGGAAAACGTAGTTATTACGGACAGTGATGAGGCTTCAATGGTCGAGGAGTGGTTCCCTTTTAGATGAGAAGCAAAGCCCTTGGAACAAGCTAGCTCCGCTCTGACATGACCAATCTGCTGAATATACGACTATTGCTTTGAATGAGCCGCAGCGGCTGTTCTTGAGGTCCAAGCACTGCGTATATAGCTCAGCAAAAGAGTCTTGGGCTAATCGTCCAGCATACAGCAGTGGCTGTTGTGGGCGTGCAGGATCTGAGATATTCGATCTCCGCTTGCTTAGGCCCGATCTGCCCACCGCGATCTTGGAATGACGTATTCCCTTCCAGGATCAGTAGGTTGTCTTTTGTTGATGTTTTACTAGCCCAGTTGCAAATTACATGACAGAATATCCATGACACGTCTACAGTTGATCCCTCTCTCAGCCTTGCGGACGTCGACATACTATATCCCCGCACACGCCCATAATCCCAATACATCTCTCGCACCACACCCACTCCTTATCTATCACGGTGTGTTCCGACATACTCCTTCCATTTCAGCCTCCAAAATCGAATCGCACCTCACCGATATCGGTGTTGTGGTGCCGCACTGGCGTTACACGATGTATCGTCAATCGCACTTCCATTCGACGACGCACGAGCTGCTTGCCATCGCGTCTGGTCGCGCTCGCCTTCTCTTTGGTGGAGAAGGTAACCCGGATGGTATGAAGCTGGAAGTACAGAAGGGAGATGTGATGCTCCTCCCCGCGGGCGTTGCCCATCGCCTCTTAGAAGATCTCGGGGGAGAGGGCGGGGCATTCCAGATGGTAGGGTGCTATCCAGTCGGGGCAAAGCAGTGGGACATGTGTTATGGAGACGGTCGTTCCGGAGAGAATGATAAGGAGATCAGGCGCAGAATCATCAGCTTGCCGTGGTTCGATCGTGACCCTGTGTATGGAGACGAAGGTCCAGCTATTCATATCTAGTGTCCATGAACTTGAAGAGTAGAATAAACATTGTACGAATAGTATTATTGTGTATGCATCGTATCAACAAGTCGATAGATGCCTTCAAGAGCTGATGCACGACAAATACTGCCAATGAATGGATGATATATACTAATATAGAGGGATAGCCGGAGTGTGGAAGACGGCACACAGCATACGTCTTCATTGGTGAGCACGATAGCAAATGACGAAGGAGCTCGTGCGCAGGTATAGAAGTATTAGCCGATGCGTTGAGAGGACAATTAATTGTTCGTGATACTTGAATGCGATCTCCATAACTTCGTTGTAGGCTGGAGATGAGGAAGGACCAGCCATCGACGCCAGATACTAACCAGCTCACACGATAGTATCTGGAGAAGATTGGATATCGGGTAAGCCAGGATGGGACAAGCAGGACGGAACGGTTGGAGGACAGAAGCACTGAACAATGCCACAAAACAAAGGCCATACTAGTGCTGCGCCATGTTTGAAGCTAAGTATAGTCCCGCATTGTGCATACAGTTGCCTGAATGAGAAAACCATGAGCATTGCCTTGCGTGGTTGAGATGCATACACAAAAGATGAAGTATCATGCTATATCATGATAAATTTAGGATGATTGAGGGGAAAGGCAGCAAAAAGTAAACAGAAAAGATATCAGTGTGCAAGATATTTGCTTTGAAAGGGCGAAGGGAGCAAGTCAACAAACATCATCGAGACGCAGACACGTCTAGTCAGTTACTTCCGAGCCCAAACGAGCGCTAAGATAGGGCTGCATGTCGTCTACCCTAGTGCCATCCTCATGGTGATTGTTGTCCTCGCGGGACAGCGGAAATTTCCAGAAGGCTGAGACTGCGAGCAGGAGATGTGCAGCACCCACAATGGCGGTCGTGGTGATCACAATGCCAGAGATGATCGCTGCGGGGAGCGATGCGGTTTGTGCGCTATTATCTGGTGCATTCTGAAGAATATGCCGATCCCAGATGCTGAAAATTATCATGATGCTCGAGGTGATTGCTCCCCTGGGGTCACTTCAGATGCAGAGGATAGAGGAGCGGGACAGGACACTCTACCAGAGAAACCATACAACCGGCGCCGCAAGAAGCATCGACGGCTTCAACCAGCGGGATGCTTCGAGGCTTCTCAAGCGCTACAAGTTCATCTGTGATCAGCCATCCGAGCGAGTCACTAGGTGACATACCTGCAGCAATTGACCTCCGCGGTTAACCTCCTTCACCTCGTAGGCAAACCAGATGTACATCCCGGAGAATGTCATACCAATGCATGCTTGAACTATGGACAGTATTGCAGTCGTGAACAATAGCGGGTTGGTCCCGAAGGTGACAGTCTGTGAAATTGTCTCCACAATCCTGGAGGCCATACGTATCAGCAAGAGTATCACAGTGATGAAGGATATCGCGGTAGCCATACGTCAAGATAGCAGTACAGGCCGAGAAGACTCGTGCCCACTGGTGGATCATTGAGTCGACGAACTGCTCTGTTGGGGACACTGACAATCTCAGAGTGCCTTGAACAGACAAGCGATTATTCTGCACTGTACTGCTAAGATCCATAGCCTCACAACATCTCGCGAACCGGACGCTGTAGAAATCGACTGGCCAGTGGAAGAGCAGAATGTCGCGATACAAGAACGTTGAGGCGGTATATACCGAATTAGAGAGAGCGGCTATGGCGCCGCTCAACCGCTCGGATAATTGGTGCAGCATATCGGCCATCGAGCGAGAAAGCAGCCCACTGAGGGTTAAGGTATTGGTGGTAGTATGTATTAGCATAGATTCACAGCTCATACTTTTAAGGAAGTTGGGCTGCAATGGGGTCAGCGCCTGGTATGGCCCCTACCTCCATCTTCGTCTTTATGCACCCTGGAGCACCTTCTTCCATATGATGGCTGCCGTCAGCTAGGTCACAGCCCTTCTTTTCTTTGCGCCGGAGGTAATGTTGCGCGATTGTTCGACGGGATCCAGGCTGTGCTTCTGTTGTATGAACTGCACCCATGAAGCAGTGTATGCGAGAGCCATATCATTCCTTATGCCGTCCTAAGAGGATTAAAACCACTGAGTATAGCTATAATGAGCTGCTAGATGCACAAAACACCTGGCAGGTCTGTAAATCAAATCTCGAATAGACAGTAAAAGCGGCGCCCTGAGAAGAAAAGAAAAACTCAGATTCAAACCTGGTAAGCAAGAGGCGATGCTCTCGTGCTCAGTGTTCTTGAATAACATTCCTCTTACCAGAATATCAATTGCTGCACAACCGCAAGAGCGAACATCCACGTGACTGCCTGGAAGATCTAAGGAAAGAATTCGCCGCACATCAAATGAGATTGAATTCATTGCTGCAGGAGGCGGCAATTGTGGTCGCGGTGGTACAATCGATATGGCGAGACGCTGGCCTGTGCAATAGCACGTCGAGATAGAAGGGTTCTATTTCAGATAATCTGAGGACATTCCCACCAAGAAACGAAACAAGGACAACTGCCTTGCACGGCTGCCCCGCACAGCGCACAAAAAGCGGAATGATCAGAAAGCTAGAAGCTAGAAGAGTGGCACAAGTCGACCAAGTCATGTACGCACCGCATTGATAGCAAATGGGTATTGAATGCGTGACTACAATGGCGGTGAATGTGGTCGTAGCGGTGCAATCGATACGGCGAGAATTTGTGCTGCGCCACGGCACGTCGTGACAGTGTCCCGTGTCCAGAAAATGTAGGCTCATTCGGATCGAAAAACTGCACAAGTACAACTGCCTCACACAGCTGCCCTACACAGCACACAGAAAGCAGAATGATCAGAAAATCAGAAAGCTGGAAGATTGGTTCAGACTGAGCAAGTCCTGTGCGCACTGGATAAATGAATTAACGGACACCTTCTTGAGCCGGTACCTGAGCGATGTCTACAGCCTGCTTGCGCACTTGCTAGAGATTACCTGGTGATGCGCTTCGGTCCAGAATGTGACTGTACATGGATTTGCTGCGGATGCGGGGCTGTGTCCTCGTGTAGACAACATGTAACAGAACACAGATACTTCATCCTATTCTAGGGCTGTAGTTGAGCAGGTGAACGTTCCAAATCAGCACCCCGCCTATGAGGGCCCCTCCTAGGCTGCACAGATTCCCAATTTTCTTGTGCAAGTTTGTATGCAGTGATTATACCCGTCGAATTTAACATTGTCGGAAGCATGCTATCAAAGCCACAATAACACGATAGAACGAACTTGTGTACAAAGACCACTGGAAGCAAGTCTGGCTCAGAACGTCAATATTGGATAGAGTTGTGTATGCACGAGTAAGATTTAACAAGAGACAAAAGGCGAACCGAAATAGCCACCATTGCCCGGCATTACCGTGTGACACATGATGACAGTGGACCGTGCCACCAGACCTGATCAAGGCTGCTGCTTGACCAGTACACTCTCCAAGAACCTCCCCACAAACTCAGCCGAGCATATGAAAAAATAATAAATACGACGCATCAGAGGTTTTATATGAGCGAGTAAATGAGTGGATTAAACTCTCAGAACAACAAGAGCAGGGAGTTTGGCGAGAGAACAACATAGACACCAGTAATACAACCGTAGATAAAGTACTAGAGAAACAACCACGCGCCGCAGGCAGACCATGTCCGAATCACTAATCGATCAAAGGTTGAGCCATTCTCAGTCGATATCCATCCTGGCATGATCTCCCCGCCCGCCTCCCCTGCGCCCACCTCGTCCCCGGCTACGACCGCGACCACGCTGAGGGCGTTGAGTGTAATCCGCAGGATTCAGCCCCGGCGGTGCGACGAGGACATGCGCCCGCGTGTCCGAGGCAAGAATATCATCGGAGCGCATTTTTCTGCCACGCAGGCCTGTTTAGCACACTCCCCCAATACCACGGTTGCAATACTTACGATCCGCTTGACACATTGCCTTCCATGAGGACATCCACGCTATCATCTGAAACGCTGGTACCCATGATGCGCCCGCCCAGCGTCGCATTCACACCACCAACAATCTTGACTTCGAGCGTCCGTCCGTCGGCCGGTTGTCCATGGAACTTTGCCACTGCAGCCTGTGCATCCTTCTCGTGCTTGAATGTAATGCGCACTATCGGAGGGTCGTTGCGCGAATGCATCACAGCGTTTGTGATGGGGCCACAGCGCTTGAAAATGGCCTGAGTGATGGTCAGCACAAGATTGGTGATGGGACAGTAAACATTTAGTGGCCCCCCTTGGGACAAAGTATGCGAGATGTAACGAGCTGCCGCATATACGTGGTGTCGACTCGATTTCCAGGAGAGCCAGCGTAGGAGCAGGCAAAGTGCTACATACCTCGACATCCGCAGCACTCGTGCCGCTGGCCAATCCCCCAACTTGGACAACGTTCCCCCTCCCGCTCGCGCCCTTGATTGAAAGGCCCTTCTCACCCGTTGCCTCTCGTAATGCACGGTCCGCGCCCGTGAAGTTCATCTTTGGCGCGCCCGTCTGCACGCTGGAGAGGCGTGACCCAAGTGAGTTGGCCTCCGCATCAGGACCACGATAGAGGTCGTGTTCCCAGGTTCCATTGACGTCGCCTTTTGGTGGGCGTTGATTGCGGTGCTAAGAGTTTGCAAGGCCAGAAGAAGAAGAGCAAGACAATGAGTTGGGTGTGTTCAGTGGTCGAGACTCGGAAGCGGCGCACGTAAGGGCTGGAGCCACCAGAGCGGTTGCCCCTGCTGCGAACAGGGCCGACAGAGCTCGAGTTAGGGAGACTGATGCGGTCGAGGAGGGAGGCAGTCATGACGAGCGGCGGTAGGGAGGTGGTGGTTGAGGAAGAAGTCGGACGCGACGACTAGTTGTGGCACCGCGAAAACAGGAGCAGGCGCTGTTTGGTCGTGTTTGGCAAGCATCCCCCAGGTACGGCCGTCCACCCGATTGACAAGTCGACGCTGCTTCAAGCTTACAGGCGAGTGCTGTGCCCTTATATCGACCTATGCATGTGCCGTACAATCAAACAATGCAACACACACTGCAATGTACCAAAGAAATCCGAAGTACATCATTATACGCCCCGTACAGAACATAGATGATTTGTCTGGAAGAATCGTATCCTTCGTATTTCGCTCCTCACCCATCTAATCGCAGTATGTAGCAGCCCTCTCACATGTATAAACGTGGTGCTATATGCATGATTAATATGTAGAAGTATATATGTTGTATGCACTCTGTATTTTGACAGGATTATCTCATCGTAAGAGGCACGTTGAAAGCTACAGATTGTTGAACGTCTGGTATCTTACCTTGTGAGTGCCTACAACCTGCAAGCAATCTACCTAGCGTGTCAATATCCTTAATCAAATACAGGGCTATGATTCTTCTCTTGAATGAAACTTTGAATATGACATCTCTCCTGTGAGTGCCGAATTCGACATGCTCTTCTGCATCAGCCAGCGGCTGAAATCGTAATAGGCAGCCGCGCTTCCTTGCTGGCACTCGTTTTGACCTGGAGTGTGTTCCCTTTCCTAAAGGTCCAAACTCTGCTGCAATGTGATCGACCCATCGCATTACGCGATTGTTCGCTTGTGGTATTTGGACTTCCCTTGTTGGCTGTCCCTTCCAGTCTTGATTGGATGCCACTTAAGCTTTGAACTTTGGCTCTCGTGACGTTATCGTAAACGCTTCTCGGCGGATATTGCATTATACCGATGCGTGTTCGGAGTCCACTTGACCTCAAGCAACATGGAATCACGTCGCGGATTGAGACTTGTTCCGAAACTAAAGACATTTAAGTCTGCCATGCTTGCATTTGCGGGCTGCACAACATCTACCCCACACTGAGGTGAGCAGGAAGTGTGCCCCACCGTCAAGGCCTCGCATGGTGACATTATATGCAGCCCAATATGAATCCAAATCTTGAGCCGAAAGTCAGGAGCCTCGTGAATACTCACTTCATGGAAGCAGAAGCCGACGTGAATGGTTTTTGGAACGCGTAAGTTATTCCCATATTTTACGGCTGACGTCTAAGTCAGGCCTGATCTGTCGCCATCAGCGTTCTGAATATTTACTTTCCAACCAACACCCTGGATTTTATCACCGCGCCGGAAGCAAACCCCAAAGTCGGGAGTGGATCCCGCACTGATTTGCTCGTTCGTAAATACACCTATGGCGCAAATAACACCGTGACCCGGCGCCCTGTCCTGCTTTACGAAGGCAAGGCACACAACGGAGAAAACATGGATGCAATCCGAGCACAAGTGTCTGATTACCTGAAAAACTTGGGGGACTTGAAAAGCCAGGAGAAGTGTTGGGTCATCGGAGCCAGGGGTCGGGAGGTTAGTTTCTGGTGCTTTACAAAAGGTGTGGGAGGAAAAGACCCGTTGGAACAGTGGGGGGTGAACGTGAAGGATCATAAGGTGGGGCCGATGGCGACGAAAGTCTCTTACGACGTTTTGAACAACTTCAGCTCTCAGTCTCGTATCTCGTGGTTGCCGATTGTTCAATATTTTCACGACCATCCCCTGGGGCCGTAGTGGATTGCTTTGCTTTACTGTTGAGTACACTCATCGGGGGTAGTGATGAGGTTATGTGACAATCCCCGGCATGTCTGGGTAGAATTCAATCCAATCTACACGAGTCAGTTGAGGGATGATTTAGAAGACAGGGCAGGAAGGAACGGTAAGGCGTTATGATAATTGAAAATCAAGCGGTCATGTATGTCAAAGTTCCTGAGCAATTCAAGGAAGCTGTGATAGAACGGACTGAGACCCGACGTTGTGTCTTGCCGGCCTTCGACTCTAGAACAGGATTCTCTGCCAGGACTGATAACAAATATTGAGTCGGAGGCGCACCGAATAATGACTAGGTCCGCACATAATGGTTTACGGAGGCTTTCGGAGTGATGATGATGTTTTCCAGCATATCTACGAGTGTACGACACTGGTGGCGCCTGCGTTACCCAAGAGCAACGAACATGTCTCGCGGGATGTCATGCGTAAAATCGTGATCACAAGGCTTCAAACCCTGATAGTGAAAATCACTCTTACGGTGCTTTAAAGTGTGGTTGAGTGAATACGAATCTCAACATACGGAGCTGCACATAGCATCTAGTAAACTACTATACGGTCCACAGGGCAAAACACTTCAAGAAGTCAGGTCATATATGATGGATGGACCAAATGCAAGAGCCCTGTAGACAATCACTTTCAAACAGGTCCAATTATGGCCCTGCATATAAACCGATCAGCAACTCATGGAAGCTGCAGCTTTACCAGGACTATGGCTCGGGAGGGATTTCTTTGATAAAATAAAAACGATAAGAAATTTTATAATGCTGAGATGGGTACGAATGTCCGTTCCGAAACTTCAAAGCACTCACCTCGAGTCCTCGACAACTCACTTGCCGCCTGACCTTACCGCCGTGACTATACGTGAAAAATAACACGCACCCAAGATCACGAGATCCATCCCAGCGACTTTTTTGTGCAGTAAAAGCTATTCGTTACAAGCGGACACACTGAGATCTTTAACTGTCAAAAATTCCGTTTCGTGACGGACGTCTTCCTCAATCCCCACATACTATGAGGGAATGTTTGGACAGGGAGGTTGAGCCAGGCGGGCTCCGAGAATGAGATGATTGGTCGGGATTTTACACAGAGTCTAGCTGTGGAGATTATGGGGTTTTGCGAGAACATTATGCCAGATGGTAGTGAGAAACTGTTAGTTGGCTGTAGGCAGCCAGGCCGTGCGAGTCGGACATGGGTGACGTGTTTTATGTCACATCCTTCAAATAAATGTCACGCGTGACGTCCTCGTCAGCCCATCTGCGGTTGCCTGGTGCACCCTTACGCCTCGCGTCCCCGTCTGTCTGCGTGTTCCTCGCTTGCTCGCTGCCAGCTGGCCACTTCCCTTTCTGTATCTCCCTGGCTCCTCGTTCCCAGCAAACTCCTACCGTAAACTATCACTAACCTCGCACATTTTCAACAATGGGTGGTACAGGTGCGAGATCAAGTGTGACTGGACTCTTACTGGATTTGCGCTAACTGTTGCATTTCCGCGAAATGTTGCTGTGCATGGACATGCTGGGTACTAGGATGGCTTTTCCTTTTCGCGGTCCTCATGGCAGCTGGGCTTCTCTTCACCATGGTCTTCTTTGTGGGTAGCCCCTCCTCGCTCGCAATCAGACGGAAGACTTACTTTCACTGCCATCATTGCGGTGGAATATTACATTTACACGAATGGCTCGCAGATCATCATGTTCTCCGACCTCGAATGTGACTACATCAACCCAATAGACCTCTGCAACAAGCTTAACCAGGTGCGTGCGTGTACCATGCGCATGAACCTGTGCTACGTCGCGGTTTGTACTGGATTTGGTGCTGATAATGCGACTCCCGATGTGACAGTTCGTTCTTCCCGAGAACATTGCACACGCATTCCTCTCCGCGCTCTTCCTCCTATCGGGTCAATGGATAGCGTTCGCGCTCAATGCACCACTCCTCGCGTTCAATGTCAACAAGTACGTGTCGTTGCATGCTTGTGTCCGGCTGGAATGTTGATGTCTCTATGCCTCATCAGAATACGGAGTAAAAGCCACATGTACGACGCGACGGAAATATTCCGCACTTTACCGGGCCACAAGAAAGAGAGTTTCATCAAACTCGGGTTCTACCTTCTCTGTTTCTTCTACTACCTGTATCGGTACGTGTACAAGTCATGCATATCTGGTTGTCTCATGGCAAATCTGACCCCGGCCCTGGTTACAGAATGATCCTTGCTCTCATCCAGGAGAGCGAATGAGCACGTGACACGATAATATACGCCGATCTCGACGACGGGGGTCAAGATCTCAACAAAGGTCAGGACGAAGGGAGGAGGCGTTCGCGAGGATGGATCTATAATACGTAACATCTGGACTGATGCTTTGTTTGCCATTGTCGTTGAATCTAACGCACGTTTACGACTAACTCTCGTTACGAAATGGTTGATATCGTCTCAAACCCCACTTAGACTGGTCCTGCTCCTCGTCAGCCGAACTAACATGCGGGTCAATGATACGTACAGACGTTTCGCAGGGGCGCAAAAATTCTGTTGGTGTCTCAGGTACGCTGATTGTCACCTCATGCAGTTCTACAGTGCATGGTATCAAAAAGGATGCAAGCAAAACTGGATGATCATAGTTCGTTGATGCCCTGCTTACAGATCATCGTATCAGCTATATAATTTTGCCGCATGCCTTTTGCTCGATTGTGATCCTTGTTTTATTCATCATCTTCGTGCGGCTGGTAGCAAAGGCCTGTCTTGCCCACGTATAAAGAAAAGTTCTGGACATCCTGTACACCAATGATCTTATTTGAAGCTTACTCACCCTCTCGATGGCATTTCATTTTTATCACTGTGTACAGCAGAAAGCCCTCTCGACGCACTCCTCGCAAGCTCGTGCTTTTATTCGACGTCAGCACCACATCCAGCGGCATAAGCTACCCGATTATAGAATCTGGTGGAATCCAGAAGTTGACGAGAGCACGCAGGCGAGTGTACTAGATTACTGCTGATCAAAATATACTACATTTCTCGGACAGGAAGCCAGTGCGGAAGATTCAAAAATCTCATCAACTTTATATTATGATGAAGGCTGTATTCTAGCGGCAGGCCACCGCATATTCGTGGCCTTGAAGAAGACGAAGGATGCACTAAGGTCGAATGGTAATGAAGACTCTTATTCATCTTCTACTATTACCTTAGGTCCAAGCTGCATCTCCGCCCACTTGCAGAGGTGCAGTCTATGCAGGGCGGTAAACAGTATAGTCGCATGTTGCCTCTGCCTCGACCGAAATCTGTCATCGATGATTTTGCGGATTTCGCAAAAGGCCTTTATAACTGCGCTAAGATTTGCATCTGGGAAACTCATGCTACTGGGGGCCTTCTATGGACATCAGTAGAAGAGTCCATCGATTTTGTATTCAGTCATCCGAATGCTTGGGAAGGCTAACACTGGCAGGCACAAATGCGCTTTGCTGCCTTTCGATCCGGTATAATTCTAGATACACCTAATGGCTATACACGCATACAATTTGTGATGGTAGAAGCTAGTGTACATTACTGCATTATCAGCGGACTCCTTGTGGATGCTCTTCAGGCCAGTATACTTGTCTCGTGTGTTGGACGTGCACTGATGGATGAGATCGTAGGATGGTAAAACAATCATGATCCTTGATGTTGGCCATGGCCGATATCAGCACGTATGAAGTGAAGAAGAAAGGAAGTCTGAGGATGGAGGGGATCGCACCACCAGAATGTAAGAATTATCGCTTATCCAATTCTCCTTACCGTGAAAACACAAAGTCAGGACCAGAGGATCTCCGAAGGCCCTGGTATTGTAAGCATGACATTGTACCGATAAGTTAAAGCAGAGAAGCTTGCCGGTTCACCATACTGTAATGATCGTGGTTTGGACGAGATGCTCAAGCAATTTGACGAAGCGCGGACAATAAAGGGGCCAATTTTTTTTGACAAAGCTACAAAGCCTCTTTTTCAAAGTCGGGACAGTTAGTCTTACATGTAATTTGGCTCGATACGCGGCCGGGAGGTGCAATATGGAATAGGTAGTGGACAAAAACGACCCAGATTCTGTCCAGGTATGCCTCCCGTACTACGAATCTACGATCGGAGTACGGAAACTGATGTTACTTCTTGAATTCAGTATCGATGTTGTAGCTTTGTTTAGACCGTCCATCCTGGAGATCCGGTCTACTATTAACAGTTGTATGCAGCTGTCAAGTCTGTTTCGGTAAGGAAGTCCCAAGTCGACGAAATTGGCGTACTAAACTGGCAATGGACGATCTCCGCTTAGTGGTTTTGCATCCAGTCCTTGGCTGTTTTCGCAGCTGCGCGAATTAGCACAATCGCTTCATGTTGCATACCCACGCCCGGACTAGTGTATTGTATCTCGAACCAATGCAACCACAACGTAGTTAGCTGATTTTCCCTTGTCCGTCCCTAGCAATGAAGCCGTAGTTGAAGGCGCTTGATCTTTATATCTGGATCATTTCGTCTTTGTGGGATGGTGGCGGCTCAGCATACGAAGTTCCACATAATGGTCTTCACCATGTGAAGAAGTCCCAGAACATGCCAGCAGATCATTAGGTTTATATAGGACTCAATAGAGAGGGGCACATCAGCGACAGTTTTGCAATCCTTTTGCAGAAGGTGAGACCCATCGCAAGTCCGGTTTTGTGTCTTACCCCTTCGTAGGGAATACGCGTCTTAAAACAGACCGAGTGCGCAGACTCGTTTCTGCGGGAGCGTAAAAAAAGAAAAGTCTTGATTAGTTAATCGTAGTCATTCTGTGCTACAAAGGAGCCTTCAGGAATCCTCACTGGATCGGTCAGGATCAGGGTACGTTTATGTTTCAGTCTGGACACGGCTCTTGGCATTGACACCAAGCGCGCTGTTATTTGAGAATGGTTTCTCGACACTATGTATCATTGGAGCCGACACAATCCGTGTACTAATATGTCCTATTGGGGGGCATGGGACCATCTATTACATCCAGGACTTCGACGTTGTACTCTTGTTCGGTCTCATGGAATTAAGGGCACAATTGGAGTGAAAACAGGAGTCAGCAGTTTGGCAAGTTGGAACTCGTCTTGCCAAAGACTTACTATGCTAAACGTCGTTTTTATCATGAGTACTCCGTTAGAGGTTCTGCCAGAGCTGTGTACCGTGATCATATTTCTGTTCGGTAATCGTGCGCTTTCAAGACGCAATCACATTGGTAGTCCTGGTTGTATTCTGTCCGGCGACGACTCATTGGCAGCTGTACATGATATTCTGCACCAAAACATGGGCGCGCGGGCCAGAAGAAAGAATGAGGAAAGGAGAGAAGGCTTGCGTTGTGAAGGGCTGTACACGACATGTTGTATGTTCGAGCTCTGAGGGTTGGGACAAACGCATGCGAAGGCACGGCGCATTCAGAGTGTTAGGATGTATTGACACTGGCCTCGCGCACATATTCACTTTTACGCCGAATCTGAATTGGGTCTGGCCGCAGAGAAGGTATCACATAACCGTGGTTCGCGGGTACTAAGTTCCTACAGGTCTCTTAAGCGTATGTTTGAAGATGCTGTACTAGTGCATGTCTGTACTTGCTGAGGAAGAGAGGGCTGCAGAGATACTCGTCTCATTATAGCTAAACGACACAAGTTAGTGAGAACACCGAAGCTTGGCTTGGACACTCCCAGCTAGCATGGCGTGATCTTCCATAATGATACGAGAGCTACGGGTAAGGACAGATTCAGAAGACAAAGGAAAGTCTGCTAATATGACAACAATAATTAGGCGCAGGATATATTACTGGACGTCAACACGTCAAAATCTAGGGTCATTTTCCGTTAGTTTCCGTGCATCTCAGCTTGGAGTGGCAGCTACTCACCGTCCGAATTTAGACATCAGTGTTCTCACTACTCTGGGGACTCATCTCCTCTTCCTCCACAAGACCTAATTCATACACCAGAGTCTCCAAGACTACCTTGGGTCTGACCAATGTCGTCACCTGCAGCTCATCTCCCAAACCGCCCTTCGGTTTGTCACATCGCCGCAGGCCCAGAGACGCGGTGCACAATACATGCAACGGCTCGTGGTCGTCCGCCGTTGGCTCCTCGTCACCATATACGTCTTCCATCTGCTCCGGGTCGAACAGGTCGTCCACGCGCACTGTCATGATCTCCAAATCGCGTGAGAGGACCTGCTCGCCAATGACTTGTTGAAGGTTGAGGGCCGAGCGGATGATGCTCTCGAGGCTCGCGTTGACGGACTGACGCAAGCGCTCGTGGTCGACTCTGGCTCCCGATATAAACATAATGTCTGCCAGACGTTCCGCAAGCTGGTTGGTGAAACCCGCAGTGAGGTCACGTCCGTTATACAAACGCTGCTTCGAATATTGCCGCGTAAGGGCACGCCATCGTCCTACAGCCTTCTGAGACTCTGCATACATGAGATCAACGGAGGTAAAGATGCAAGAGATAAACGTACCTGATTTCAACATTTGCTTGTAGATGCCCGAGAATGTAGCATTGCTCTGGTGCTGGAAATCCCATGCCGAGATGATACCCGCAGCAAAGCTTATCATGTCGGCCTGGAGCGCGATATGGACGAGGATCGGATCGTCTTCGTGATGAATTGACTCAAGCAGCTCTGCCATGATTGGGCCAACAGCAACCTTAGTCCGCTCGTACGCCTCCACGAAGCCATCTCCGCGACGATGGTCCTCCACATGGAAAGACTCCGTCAGGAGCGTCGCCGTCTTTGATATGTCCAGGTTGAGACTGCGAACTAGCTGCACGACGTCCACGTCCGCGGTTTTGTCTTCAGGTGCGAACGAATCTTGCGCGGTACTCAGATCCTCCTGTGCCACTGCCAGCAGTGCCTGCATGCTCGCCCGCTCTTCCGCGAATACCCGCTCTTGCTCCTGAGCGAGAAACATTGCGTCTCGCAGCCGAGCCTCCAGGACCAGCAGCCGCTCGCTCTGCGCCTCAATACGCACCTCCGCCCGCCGATATTCTTCGTCCTTCCTCCCAATCTCCTTCCTCGCAAGGTGTTCCATACGCCGCCAGAATCCAGCCTCCTGATGAAGGAGCTCTTCACGCAATTGCGCACTCTCGCTTTCTTGCTGCAGACGCTCTCGTAGACCCTGAACAGTCCTCCGTGCCTCATCTACTTCCAATCTCAGCTGCACATGCCGTCCTAAGACGGACCCGTACTGCGAGAGGCGTAGGCGACTGCTCGACACGCGCCGGACGACGTAGTGCGCGCACTTTATCGCGGTCAGCGTGAGCGCAACCTTCCAGGCGATCTTGAGGAGCGACGTCCAAGTATCAGTCATGGTTCAATGCTGCTGGTGTCATGGCGCGCACCTTGCACTCTACTCATCATATTGCCTTGGGACACGCCCCTGTCGCCCGTGCGGCAAGCTAACACGCAGGGGCGACGCAAGCAAGCCGCGGACCACCTCTGATCAACACGAGTTTCGCGCACCGGGACCCGGCTCGGGGGAGGCTGCTGAGCACCGCCATAGCCTGATGAAAGACGCACGGCGAGCGAGGGCTGTCGGTGTTCTTGACTTGCGTATTAGCAGCGACGAGACATTCGTGCGACATGTAGAACCGAAGGAGACTTCGAGCGGCCACCAACCGACTGTGATTATGACATGAGGACAATGCATGGCTAACGCATGGTATTGAAAAACACCGATCTCACCCGATTTACCGCACTTTCACAGCAAGGCCCAGTGCCTACATGACAGAGTATTGGCAAGCTTGAAACGTTATACCAGAATGTGGTGACGATCGGCAGAGACGGTGGCTATTTCCATACCATAACTTGAATCATGGACGTCTCGAACACAGCACATGACACACTGACGCCTAACAGTTTGGTCTCTTTGACATCGCCTACGCGCGGCGATCAACACTCTCGACGTTCAGATAGACTCGGCGGGTCCCAGGAGTCATGGTGCACCTTGGCTCTGTCCTGGGTAGATGCGTAGACGGTCACCCTGGAATGTGAGAACAGCAGTCGGAGAAAGGAACGAGGCAACCCTCGGTGTCCAGGCTCACACGAGGCACCAATCTAATCGTCATGCAAAGGCGCGCTAGGCACCGATGTCATTGCATCCTCGCTTCACTCCGTGGGTTTGCGCAGTTTTCCACGAAGCCTCGCAATTCAAGATCTGCACAACTGACTCGCTATTCTCCCACGTCAGACTAAGAGCACACCATGGATATATCATGCAGACAGACTTTTATCGACTTCCTCGCAAGATCGCACTGTGCACTGAATAACCAACAAATCGGTGGAATCGAGCCGCAACCTAAAGCGCGTTTGCACCGACTTAGTAAGTACCGCATCCATTGCCCCAACAGGCCTAGAAGCCTTGCCGACCAGCATCTTGGAAGCTACCAAGCTGAGGATGAAACTATTCGGGCTTGACATGGGACAGGCGCAGTATAACCGAGGAACAAGATGCTTTGTTACAACACTGCCCTAGACAGCCGCCATCAGACTAAGATGTGCACAGGCGACAAACATGTGTATTCCAGCGTGGCGAAGATCGTAAGCACAAGTCATCATAAAATGAGATTTAGAAATTAGAGTGGCTTACTGCGGATTGTGAGAAAGAAACTCAGTCTCCAATGCCAGCGACCCCTCTGATTACAACTCTCATCTCTACCCCACACACCTCGCAGCCACGGACATCCATTTGAAATGAGCGAAAACGATCTAGGAGAGATGTCAGCATCTGAATATTACGACGACGGTATATGATCAGAAGTGTCAAATTCTGGAGCCCGCCCTCAGTATGCACTGAAGTATACTCCTTGAAGAAATTCAAGAAAAGAACATCATAGAGAAAGTGCGACCCCGAAGGAAGACTCACCAGCAAAGCCACAGTCGGTGCCTTGTGTAAGAACAGCGAACCGTTCAAATGGACGAAAAAAATTCAAGACGTAACGCGCGTCGAATGAGAGTAAGCCCCATTCCGTTGACAAGTCGCGACCGACCCGCAATCGCATAACTTTGTCTATGAGCAACATATCGCGCATGCACATATCGAAAACCTGAGCGATCCAAAGTGCTCATATCTCCGCACCTTGGTGCCGTAGCCAGATGATCTACGCGCGCAATGCACGGCAGATTGGAGAGGTGTGAGCCACGAGCCCTAGTGAAAAGGCCCAAGCAGAGTATCCTCCCGCCCTCGTCCCTGCCTATCATGCTTGGAGACAGTCGCTTTCCGGATGTGAACGAGGGCATGATCTGCATCTCCGGGGACTTTCCCCACAGCTAAAGGAAGAAAGCGCAAAGCTCTCAGTGCGTGAGCTGCGACAGCGATTCTTCAGACGACGCAAAAGTGGTCAATGTAAGGAAAGAAAAAGAGAGAGGAACCATCGCTAAACTTCACATGTGCGCATTAAAGCTCCGACTCAATTTCTTCGGCTAACTACGGTGGCGTGTCCTTTGGCCGCGTAAGTTGTACCCTCTTAAGTCATCTCTTCAATCCTTGGTCTCCAAATTCCCGGTATCTCACTAGCTTCTAATCTAACATGTCTTCTGGCGCAAGCGACACCAAATCCGACTCGTCAGGCAGTGCCTCGAACAGAACATTCCCAATTTACTGGTCGCAGTTACCATCTATCAAGATAGTCAGACAGCCCAAAGGTCTGCTTATCGCTTTGTTCAACACACAGGAGGATAACGAATCTATGATATAGGCAGATATTCTCCGCAGACTGATGAGAGATGCTTTACCTATTGCTCACAAAGCGTGCGAGGACGTACCGAGCAGCGAGAGCCTTGGTGCAGAACGATTTGTCTCAGACGCGTCTTCTCCCACGAAGTATCCCGAGTCATTGCAGCACACGACGGTCAGAAGTCCACTCTTCCCACTAAATACCCTCTTCCTCCTGAAGGACAGAATATACCAACTCTCGCGGATATTCTCGTCGGCGAGACGCCTGATGATCAAAGTGCGTCACCAGACCAGGACAACGTGCGACACTGGGATGAGGGTTACTACTTGTGGCTAAGCAGAAGCCGGTGGGCCACACAGGAGAAGCTTGACCTGATGATGCGCGACCTAGGGAACCAAGCCGAGTGGCAGCGAGTGAAGCAACAGTTGATGGAGGAGTGGGAGCAGCAGGAGCGCCAGAGGAAAACCAAGGGTGCTTCAAGCATGTCTGATGCTGCGGAAGGCGCACAAGCGCAGATGCAGGGACACAAGCAGCAGGCCGCCCAGCAGCCCCAGGTTTTGCTCACCAGGAGACCGTTCCCCGATCTTACGTGAGTCTCCGTCCCCCGCTCCTTAGATATGCGCTCGTCGTTGAATGATGTAAAATTGTGCAGGGACCAATCTATTCTTCTCCCCATACCCCCGCCTTTCCCACCGCTTCAAGAACAGATCCGAAATTTACTCGCGCCGTCACAGCGGGTGCTTGGACTGACTCATGATAGCCTCCAATCAGGTGCACAGTGGAGATTTATGGGGCTGATGTGGGAGAAGGCGATGACCGACAAGCCTTTTGTACTTGCACGGAATGTCTGTTCAAGAATGTGGGATAAGTGGAAGAAGGGACCGCCTGAGGATTCACCATGATATATCGTGCTCATGCATACATTAGATTCTATGCTAGACGGTACATATAATACAACTGGTATCACAGAGACGAGCAAGCGTGAGTACGACTTACTGTCATCATTAAATAGTGCATTCAGGAACCATTTTACACACATACATCAGAGAAAACATTTCATGATATCGCAATACGCACAGCATAGGCCGCCGCAAACCATCATATCAGTGACTATTCATCATGCTGACTTTTCTGGTGCGTGACCACTCGAAGATGGCGAGAGAGGCATTTCCATTGGCGGTAAAGGCCCTATTGGCGGTAAATGACGAGGAAGCGACCGTTCGCTCATGACGCTGTGGGATCTGCTACGGGTCGATGATGAGGAGCCGCTAGGTGCCCTGCTCGGAGGACTAGTGGGGATTGTCTGGACGAAGGGGGATGCAGGAAGGGGACGCAACGCCAAGCTGTCCTTACGCCTTACAAGGGCAGGCTGTTGTTGGGCCTGTAGCAGCTGTTGTCCCCACCGAGGCTGAGAACCAGAAGGCGACAGGGCGGCGCCTGTAGACGACTGGGAGTGGGGTAGCTGAGCGGTTACAGGTGGTGAGGGAAGCGGGCGAGGCGAGGGGACCGGGGCGAATGATGAGCTGACAGACTGTCTGCGGGACATCGAGGGACCAGCTTCCTGGAATTGTGAAAGATGTGCGGGCCCTGTTATATGCGAAGATGCTTGCGGCTGCTCTCGCACTGCTGTGGCCGCAGAAGGGATGCGCCTGTGCCGAATATCAGTCGTGCTCATGCGCCGAAATGCGTCCGTAGCACGTCCCGTCTGTACTTGCGCGTCTGGACCAACGTCTAGCGAGACCGTACTAGCTCGCGAACGGGAAACATTGCGAAAAGACGGAGTGGTGATAGATGGGTACCGCTGAGTAGTCGACGAGACATGCGATGAGTGCGCGTTTGGCGAATGGAGCGTACTTGTTTGAAATGCCGCTGCGAGAGGTATCGAAGGTCCAGTGGAGGAACGGGGACGGAATGGCAATGCGGACGGGGACGACTGGGTGCTAGCAACGCTGGGCCGATGTCTACTGGAGCTCGCTTGCCATTGCGCTTGGGGCTGGTCAGGCGAAGAGGGTGGCGACGGCAGCTGGCGCACCGGCGGTGGCTGATGGTCACTGCTGTCCTCCATGACCGGCTCCATTCCACGACGATGCCCACCCGCCCTCGAACGACTGCTACTGCTGTTCACCGTCGAAAATACGGGCGAGACCGGGGTCAGAGGATACATAGCAGCAGTAGATGGTTGAACGACACCCAGAGAAGGCATAGAAGAACGATGCGGACTGGCTGTGCTAGCGTCAATCTTGGACGAAAAGCCCGGTGGGGTCGGGTTTCGTTTGGAGGTCGGCGGCGACATCTTTGTGTCTGCAACGCCCTGTCCGGACTCGTCCATGCCGCTGGGGGAATCCGCCCTAGACCCGCCGTGCGAGGTGGTCGCGTTATCGGTGCGGAACGAATAGGTGGCCTCTTCAAGAGAGCTGGCGCTTGAGTTCTTCGAGCGGAGATCCGACCATGAAATGTTGGACACAGGATCGATGAGAGGCAAAAGCGCATCCGGTCCGGCACGAATTTGCAACTCCCGCATCTTTTGATCGCGCAAGGACGATCGCCGGGGATTCAGGTCGCTCTCCTCGTCTCCTCGAGTCCTGCGCCGGCTCCTTCGCCACTGGCGGTGTCTTGAGAGGGGGACGACGATAATAACGCATAGTCCGACTAACGCCATTCCTCCCAAGACCCCCATCAACGCTCCCAGATTGGCTGACTGTTCTGCATCATCCGAAGGCTGGAGGCAGTGTGATAAGCGCTCGGAGAGATGCTGAAAATGGACATTGCTCACATCAGTTGCACAATTGGAACATTCAGGTCTGATCATTGACGGACGAAGGACTTTTAAGGCGTTCAAGTTGAAAGATTGTGGATGTGGAAGAGGTCAAGATGCAACCACAAAAGACGTGTTGGCGACCGCACATCTATGGAGCTCGAAAAGGCCAGGGGTCCCACCTTTGCCACTGCTCGTAACCCATGACGCTCGGTTCCACGCAAACGCCAAGGAGCTTGCTCTCCCCAAGGGAGACAGGGCGTGATGTAGTGCACTTTCAATGGGCCATGGATCATCCATAGATGGTAGTCTCCACATGTCGCCCAATCAGACGCTGAGACCACGATGAAAAAGGGACATGTAGGACATGAGAAATCAGGAAGATTGAGAAGTAGGAAAAACTACATCCCGCCAAAACGCCGACGCCCAAAGCTGACTGATTCGTGAGAATGCGAAGTTGATTGTCTCGCCCAGCGATTAGGCACAACAGGACTTGCCAAGATGCTACGATTGCACTTGGACGACACCGGTGAATATGACTCGAAAAATATAACATCTAGGAAAAGACTCACAAGCGCACTACGCGGCAATTTACATACTGGCGTTGCAACGAGATGATGCCAGAATTGCTATGAGATTGATTGAACCATCCAGGAGGACCATGTGCATGGTCAGCCGGGACCCCAGACCGACGATCACGAAGGTAGAATCGGCACCTGGGTTTTCAAAGATCGCTGAGCTATCCAGAGCGTTCATCAAAGAAGAAACACGCCATTCAATGAATACGATACCGATAGCAATATCATCGCGAAAAGGGTAGAAGCAGCACACAGCCCTCCCGTGAATCCACCTGACAGGCAATCGAGAAGTTAGCTGACCGGGATGTCGCCCCCACTAAACAGTATTCGGGATTTAATCGTCCACGCGGCCAGATTCACAAAGGCCGATTCACAAAGGCCGAACCCTAGCCCTCGTCAACTACCGTAGTGCACCCGCAACTGGCCATCTTGCGTTGATGCGTGACATCCTTGGTAACGACGACGATGAAACGTTCATTAAGTCTCGGCACTGTGCTGCACCCCGAAGTTCCTGACCATTCCAAATCGGTTAATGGGAAACATTGAGCATTGACGGACATACGCATTGCAACCATAGTCACATTTTCTCTGTGGCGCGAATGTGTGTGCAGTGTGCATCCAGCTTTTCGGGCCCGCAGCAGCTGGGAGCCTTGCTTGAAGCAAATTCAGGCTCCATAATCGATAATGCAGAATTGTTGCCCACGTGATAACAATACTAATACTTACTCTATTGAAGGCACTTATGTGAACATGTTATGTAACTTTGTAATTTGAAAGCGTCTGAGACTATTGATGCAATTTCACCTTTCAGGTGACATACAATTGGGACTCTTAGATAATCGCTACCGAGCTGGCGCTTTACGTACTGAAGGTAAAACTCACAATGCCGGTATGCAAATTGATCCTGGAGTAGACAAACACACATCAATTCATGGCGGCAAGCTGTAATGTATTCTCCCCCGGAATCATGTAAGAGATTGGATCCTAATGATGAGCATGGAATGATCATACAGCAGGCGCGTGCTAATTGAGAATTGCACAAAAGGATCGTTCACATGGAGCATGTTATATTGTAATCGCCGTATATCCAGATATTGTCATGACAACGACAGTCGAGATCCGTGGACCAAGGAGGTGAACATAATCGTCTTATTGTGGGGGGACAGCTCACACGCCCGTCGTCTCCCTCAGATACTCTATCAGACAATTCGCCAAACATCAAATCATGCGAGTGTAAAGGACGAGACATATCACTAACCTCGTGTGAGCTCAAAAGCTGCAAACGTACTTGCTGCCGCGGGTATGCTGTGTGCGCAAAGTATTTGTCCGAGAACGGATCGGAAATTAGCAAAGCATTGCTCACCTTCGTAAGACTGTCAACGGACGCCATAGGGAAATTAAACGGTGAGCTACAATGACTACATGTGGCAGTAGACACGTACGAGACGGAGACAGGCCTCGAAACAGTCCAATCCTATGAACCAGCGCAACTTCATTTTAAAAGCGGCGCGGGATATCACCCCATTACTCACCATCCGGATTCCGAAACGATAGTCTGGAGCTCTCTCGTGATATACTGGACAGGCGTACCAGTTGGCGGTGTCGGTCTGAGTTGAATACGAGATTTTACCACATCTGGATAAAATCAAAGTGTCAACCCAGTTATTCGTGCGAGCAGCTTCGCAGAAACGACTGACCCAAGGGATAGCAAGATAGCCAGTAAGCGATCTATGCCGTGTTATCAGTATCGGTGATTAAGATAAGCTGTTCACCCACTCCTCCAGTTGAACCGCTCGCCAACAATGCCCATACAGGTAACTGAGTCCCATATTTACTGGCAAATTTGCGTTTCGAAAACTCAAACGCTACGCCGGATGTAGGTCATATGACAGACTTATGCGTAAGCAAAGGACAACGCACCTGCGTAAAATCTGTGCACCAGTCAAGGAATCTGATATCAGCACTTGATCCTAATATACCGACGAAGCTACTTACCCTGCATAGGCAGGGATCTCACGGGCTACCGTCACCTGCAATATACCAGGGATGTTAATCAACCCAAGTTCGATAGCGAAACGTGGCTGACCCAGTACCCGCGCATGATTCCTTTTCGAAGACCCCAATCCGACCACATCTCGCTCACGACAGCACGCAGACGTTTGTCCGTCGCCGACCCGTACTGCCCCTGCATGCGAACTTTAAACATCTCAACTACCGGTGGATAAGCAGTCTGTTGTGGACAGAAAAGTCAACTGCGAACCTGGGCTGGCAAGTATAGCGTTTGCAGCACCGGCCATAGCTCCTGCTGCAGCAATCTCTTTGAGGGATAGCTGTGGAAACGGGGAAATAATTCGCTTCGAAACCCCGTACGCTGCAAAGAGAAGGGAGTTGACTCCCGCTATCCCCACCAGAGGGCTCGCCATGCCTAGCGCATAGTCAGTAGCCGCAGATTAATAGTCGGGCTCCGGAAGATGACCTTTGTACAGGGCGAAGAAGCCCTCCTTCCTCACCGTCTGCGCAAGAATATCCATCGGGCCTCTCTGAGAGAGGGTTCAGAACTTGAGGCCAGAGCGAAGCTCATGCACTACAGAAGCCCAAGAGACTTACGAACATTCCCTCTATACGTAACTATATGAGATTACATCCTCCGGCGGCGTAGACAAGCAGGGGGACTGAACTGGGGGCGATTTGAGCTCGAGTCTTAACGGTGTCCAATGGTTGACCGACGAGAACTTGAGCTGCTCCACCAACACTGCCGGCGAGCAGCTCATTCAGAGTTGTAAGATCCATTGTCGCAGCAAGGTAAAAGGAAGGAAGTAACGAGCTCAGACAGGGATTGGATTGGCAGAATCTCAAGCCAGACCTTACATACGGTTCGATAACCTCAATGGGGTAATTCGCCACCATTGCGACAAATCGCGACCAAAATTGCCTCCAAGCCTAATTCTTTTAAGCATTAAGCCACTTGGTTCATAGTGGACCCAATTATCAAAACCAGAATGCCTTCACCTGGAAAGCGACCATCCTCAAATTGGTTGGCTTTGCAGAAAGTATGTCGACTCTATCATGGTTCTCGATTCATACCCATAGCTTTCATTCCCCAGACACTTCCGGACACTAAAACTGGAGGGAGCAGTAAACCTGCGCGCAAGAAACGCAAGGTGGAACATAGACATGAATCTCTGTCGTCTAATGAAGATCGTCAGACATCCGTCGACACCTCATTTGTCCGTGGACCGGAGCCTGGAGATGTGAGGTCGATACCCGACGAGACGAAGAATGGGGAATCCATAGCTGCATTACGCACCATGATATTAGGCGAGCTTCAGTATTCACTCCCCCAACAACAGTGAGCCGACCCAGCTCATGTTACCTGCAGATCTCTGATCGTCTTGTTCACATCATAGGCCGGGGAAGTACCTTGCGCTTGACTGCGAAATGGTTGGTGTTGGGCCGGAAGGAAAGGAATCGTCCCTCGCACGCGTTAGTTTGGTGAATTATTACGGGGCCGTCCAGTTGGATGTTTTCGTACGGCAGCGAGAGCGTGTTACCGACTACCGTACCCAGTTCAGTGGAGTCAGGGCTAGTGACATGGGCAAAGGTTCGTCCCGTCGCCCAACATTAAGATGGCAATTATTTTAATGATTATGGATTGGTTCCGCTGATCTCCTTCAATAGCAAAACAATTTGGTGAAGTGCAAGCGCAGGTTGCCGAATTGCTGAAGGATCGAATACTGGTGGGGCATGCGGTGCATAATGATATGAAAGTATGTTCAAGGAGTCGAAATCCTTCATTCTCATCTGGTGTGCGTCGCCATACTCAGCTGTCTATTAGGCCTTGCTCTTGTCACATCCGCATCATCAGACTCGCGACACTCAGATTTACGCGTTCAAGCACAAAGTTACACGCAGCAAACGTGCTGCCCTGCGGCATCTTGTTCAGCAAGAACTTGGACTTACCATTCAATCAGGGGAGCACTCTAGCGTATGTATCACCCCAATCCATTAGTTGGAATTTCTCATGCTTTGATTAGGTGACAGATGCAAGGGCAACAATGGCCCTCTACCGCATACACCGCAAAGAATGGGAGAGGGGTCAGAAGCCACACTTAGTCGCCCAACCTGTTCCCAGCCCCGCCACCGGAAACAAGAGAAAGAGAATAAATGCTGGAACTGATTCCTTACAACTGTCCGAGTTGAATGAGGAAAGCACTCTCTTGACCTATCCGGGTGGTGGAAGGAAGGGTGTTAGTTCAGGGTTGTCGACGGTAGTTAAGCGACGAGACTCGGGCATCAAGAAAACTAAATGGTGGGTTCAGCTCGATGGCAGTTCTAAAGGTCATATGCGGATGGCGGCTGGAAGTTGAAGTAGGCAGGTGTAGTATATTGGGCGGAGATTAGACTGCCTCATCCGGTCAAGTCGAACGGGTTCATCAATTGCTTTTTTGCCACGCATTTCGTAGTCATTGGCTATCGTATAATAAATTTTGATATTGATAGCGCTCTTGCAACTCAATAGCAATCGCAATTCACCATGGTTGTGTGTCAGAGTGACAGCCTGAAGACATGGATCCTTTCAAGCTCGAGCCCATACTTGAAAGCGCCGACGAACAATTATATCCGCATCTTGAGGATGGTTGGCGCCTCAGGTGGCAGATTCTAAAGGCATTCGTAGATCATGGCGAAATCCGGGCCCACAGGAGACAAGCTACTTGGAACATTTCAAAGCGACACCACATTGATATCACACAAGGCTATAACCAGGTTCTCAGGAACTGCGATGAGATCCGATCTCTTATGATTCTGACGGCCCGTAGATGTGAGATCGCAAATACGACGAGGAGCAGCAATAGACTGAACATACGAAGAATGGTCAGCGACCGTTACATACCTGGAACCTCATCATCATAAACCACTTGTGCGGGACATCTGGCCCCGAGGTGCATCATACATTAACACCTGGGCATGTATGAAATATGATATCAGAATTACTTGCCTCTTTTCTTCCCCCTACGTGGTTGTTGTCAGCAATCATGGATGAGAAGAGCAGAGGAAATGTACACACATCTTCGATCCAGCTTAACTGCGCCTTCAGTTCCGTGAGTCCAAAAAGAAGCACAACCTGATAATCTTGGCCAAAATAAACATTATTTTTCCTGGTCTTGGCCACCTTAGCTACACCAGAAGTGTCCCCTTGAATATGACAAAGCGTGAGGTATGTGTCTGATTCGATACATTTAGAAAAATCATCTTAAACATGCAAAACACATCATACCGGGTTCAACATCGGTCCACCGTGGATTCTTGAATTCACCTTTGTAACATAGGATCTTACAAGATATGCTATCAAGTGAAGATGCTTTGTTGCGACATTGAGTAAAATGGGAGCTGAACTCCTTCTCCTCTGAAACACACGTACCCTGACAAATTAAAATCAAAACAACATATTCGACTCAGTGTAGCAGTGTTTAGTCAACGAAACCCTTGCCTTCGTCAAAATTGGACAGAAACCATTAGGTATCACCTCTTCTCCGTCACAATCAATAAACATTGAGGCTGATCTATTGGCATGTTCTGGGTCTGCAGGATCAAAATGTTTCAAAGTTCGGGTCCCATAAGTAAAACGCGCCACTCGGATGGAAACGAAGTGGTCCAAGTAAAATGACATAGTGCCTTCAGCAACCGCTTTATTACTGCAAAATGAATAAAGAATGAGCACACAGCAGAAGATCACATGAAAATGCTATTTACGTATGAGAATCAGGTCTTGAAAAATCCAAAGACAGAGATTTTGAGATATCACTCAATTGAGAGAATAGCCAAGGGCTAGCAGCATATCCTCCAACAAGAAATATTGTCTAAGAGTATTTAAGTCATGAGATGGGTAGCAGCTTAGCTCGACTCACGGAGACCGGAATGTAGGCCGCGTAGAGCTGCTTGTGAATAGCATCTTTGATGCCAGTGATCGACGGCTCAAATAATAATGCAACTTCGTGGCTGAAATGAGATTAACCCTAACCGCAATGCCACCATGTCATATGGAGACGCACCCAGAAAGAGTCAGCTGTCCATTTCGTATACCATGCTTCAGATCTTTGTCGCGCATGGAGCCGAATCAAATGTATGAAGATTCATGGGGCCCTTGGAAGGTGGGTTTGGCCGATTTATCGAAGCATTTGAACATCTCTTCGACATCACCGTCAGTACAATATCTTGAACCGGTCAACTTTTCTAACTCTCAACGATTTCAAAGTCAGGTCGAAATGAATGAATCGAATCTTACCCTTGAGAAAGTCTTTAGCTCGGAAGCTGACTATAGCAGAACCCTGATAGATACCTATACACCGATGAGCTTCTGCAGTTATGGCGGGAATAAAAGGCTCACATTCAGGCGGTGCTATCTCCTCCACGGTCAAGGTGTTCCCGCATCTAACCACATAGGTACTTATGTCAACTGTACCACCTCCCGCATCCACAATCATGACAGTCTTCTCAACCGGCCCATTCTGACACATCTGCACAGTCAGTCATTGAACAGGTAACTCACTCCGTACCAACCTTCATAATGTCCCTAGCCAGACCACTGGTGATACAGTAATGCACACTAGCCTCGCCTTCAGTGACAAACTGGATACGGACGCGGCCTGCAGGAGTGTCCGGTATCAATCCTGCTTTAATAGCAGCACGACGCATCTTCTCCTGCTGTGTACCACCCCATCCATTAGGATGACTGAACACAAAATCTATATGCTCCTTAACGGAAGCCCAAAGAAGTTCGTCATTGGCATGGGTTTCAGTAACATATGACCTTGTGCAATCAAACAGATATTTCATAAAGTCCGCTAAAACATCCACGATTGTTTTGCGAAGCGGAAGTGGAGCCATCCGGCTATAGCTTTCATTTGGAGACTTGGGTGCATTGACTTCCGCCAGGGGTCGAAGATGAAGTTTAAACCTACCCACAAACAACATCTCAGCACCGAATTTAGTGACTTCACAGCAGGCCGAGAGTTTCTCACCATTCCACCTTCTTCCAGCATTGGTCTTCGGCCTGTGCCAGAACTTGCGGGAGCAGAGCCTGTGAGCCCACCGCGCGCACCATCCCCTTCTTGTCATAATAGATAATCGAAGGTATCTTGGAATCGCCCGCCGTAGCTTCTTGACCAGGGAACCTGGGGATATATATGTTTCAAAGGCGATATCTCAATCAGAATACACATACCTCCGCACCGCCATAATGACTGGCTTTTCCCCTGGGTCCAAAATACTGTAACATACTCCGCTGTATGTAGTCCCAATGTCGAACCCCACTACGAGTCGACGACAATTGCCAGAGTACGGTTTTCTCTGCTCCATAAGTAATTTTGAGAGTAACAAGAAGCACGGCGGTGGCTTTAATACTGTTGAAGTGTTGAAGTTGTAGGCGAGCCGTGACGCGCCAGTCACACAGTTCTGAGGTGACCACTCGCTCAGGTTTGGTCCAAAATCTGCGCGCACTTCCCAGCTCAACGATCCACAGGGAACAGTACGCATCGGGATCCCTGAGTAAGATGATCTACCTACCTACCTACCAGTAATTCAATAGGGTGCTGAAGAAACACATGATAGTTGCTGTATTGACTAAGAAATCTCCACTTACCAACTTGAACATGGCGCAGGGACATCATTGGCCAAGCTGGGTCAGCAATCCCACCGGAAGAACAGTGCTTTCAACTCACGACCACCCCGAAGAAATGGATAGAGGGGTAACAGACCTTTGGAGCGAGAATGCTGGATTAACCGACGCAGAGATGGAAGAAGTAGACGATGATCTCACACATCCAGGACCAGACACCGAATCGACAGCATCGATGGAAGACCGAATGGCTCAGCAATTATACCAAATTGATTTCCTTAAAGATGTTGTCACGTCGAGAGACCAGACTATTCGGGATCTGGAGGGAAGATTGCAAGCCTACAAGCAGCATTTTTTGCGTGTACAAGCGCAGAGTGCAATCGACGAACAGCAGAAAATGATGTTGGCCAGTCTTCGACGTCAAGTGCACGCCCTGGAGATCGACCGCGACAAGGCTCTTGCGATGTCAAAAACACGATTGGAGGAATTGCGCGCAGTCAACGTGTATTTGACTAAGGCAGATGCGGTCTCCGAGGCAGATGTTATCAGGATGGTAGAAAGACTCAATTTCGAGATCTTTCAAACGGCATGCGCCATGGCCGAAGCATTCGCAGAGCAAATACAACCTGTCGATGACAAGAATGCTACCATATCAGGGGTTGATGCCGCCGACAAGAGACTTTGCGAGCGGGCAGGGAGTGCGATTGGACCCATGATGATCTCCCTATTGAAGCGGATGGCGAGAAAACAAAATCCAATTGGTTTGCAGATTGCATTCCAAGCTGTCATCACCGTTGTCGCTACTAGAAACTTAGCCCTGTGGTTGTTTGGACATGGCGATGTTGAAACAGTGTTCTGTAAGGTATCAACTGAAGTCGAAAAAGGAGGTCAGTATACTGGTGGCTCTGAGGCTGGATTGAAACTAACTCATACCGTTCGTAAGAGGACCAGGCGCTATCGGGACGGTGGCGGGCCATTACAAGTCATTATACACAACGCCTCTATCCCGTGGACACAGATCGAGTTACGTCTCAGCTTATCCGCCTATCACTAGACATTTTGCGTATCTCCGGGGTATCTGAGAGAGCGCTCTCGAATGTCAAGGAGACGTATGGACCAAGGATGCGAAGAATCTTTGATCTAGTAGTCTCGGTGCGCAAGACCATCGGAGAGGAGATCACCACCTGCACGTTTCAGCCCATAGTGGCGACTAGAGGGCTGGGATTCTCCCCAGACACGATGATCGACGAATTTTCTCCCAATGACTATAGGATCCAACGAGTTTTGTGTCCGAGTGGGATTGGACTGGAACGTCGTGAAAAAATAAACCATATCGTAGGAGACCCGACGGAGAACCGTAGAACGATCTTGTTGAAATCTAAGGTGGTGACAGATAGTATCGTCAACGAGTTGGAGTAATTGAGAGGTACCACTTGTCTCTTCTGGATGCTTGATTGCTTGCTGAAGTTTAATTGCCATCATATAGATCAGAACTTGACGCATAGAAAGTCGACAAAGGGAAGGTGGAGGAGGGGAGATAAATGTTACACTTATCCATTTATTGCTAAGCATAGTCTCCGAGCTACCAGTATGCGCAAGGCAAAGGATTTACTCTTCAGTTTGCGTTTCTCCAGCCAAAGAGAGTCATCACATGTCGAAATCGTTGAAGTCAACCAGGCTTATGGTGTACTCAGCGCAGAGAATAGCTCCTGCAGAAAGTGCTGACAAAGATTCAGTCTGGTTTGACCGTAAGCCTGAGGGCGGAGAGCTCGTATTTGACGGGAAGCTGCTACAGGCTGCTGGCATCGATCCGCAACGACGCCCGCGGCGCGAGAATTGAGTCGCGCGCGCTTTTGAACCGTGAGACCAGTACTACTGTACTGTCAGATACTTCAGCTTCACCAAGCTTCCAGAAATAGCCGCCATGATCAAAACATGTCTGTCTATTCTCGAGCCATGATGCATGATCTTGGTATAAAGCCCGCAAAGATGTAAAGGTAGTACAAGGGCTGGCCATTCCTTTGAACGTGAGGGAGCTGTTTCTGAAGAATGTTCAACAGGACCAGAGAGGATGAGACTGGGCCGTCCCGTTGGTAGGCATAATACAAATCCATGTCTGAAGAAGAGTCAAGGACCCCGGCGGTGCGAAATATATTGCGTTACCTTGAAACAGTAGTATCCTTCGACGCTGATCTGTTATCTAATGATGGAACGATGACCGCAAGTTCAGACCGAAGGATCAAAGTCACCAAGTGGGGTCATGTTCAATTCCCACTGCGTCAGCCAGGCACGCACACGGCACTAGAGCATCTCGAGTACCTAAGTATAAACACTCACTACTACTATAAGCAGACAACGGCCGTGGCGATGCCATCTGATACTTGAATGCGGGCCATGTGGTATCCCATTCATGTTATAGCAAGCTTACTATACCGTCTGGTCGTTTCAACACTTGTTTCGGAATGTAGCATACGCCAAGGTTTCCGAACCGTTTATTACTAGACATTGTTCAGTCGTTAGTCCCGCATCCCCCCACTGTAACACATTATTCGCGAGTCTCTGATAGCAATCACTCACAGGTGCACTGATCCGCCCCCATCATCTAGTAATGCCCGCAGTTCCTTTTAACTCCCTCATAGTCGTCACTGGTATCTCAGGCTATATTGGGAGTCACGTCGGTCTCGCTGCTCTCACAGCTGGGCACCACGTCCGAGGGACAGTGCGCTCGCTCGCTCGCGCCGAAGAGGTGAAAGCTGCTTACGCGAAGCAGGGCGCGGACATCTCTCGCCTCGAATTCGCGCTCGTCGATGATTTGACAAGTGAGGTACAGCTTTCCGCCGCATTCAAGGGCGCTGCGGGCATTGCAAACCTTGCAATTCCGGGATCGCTGACTGCGGACTCGAACATAGAGCCGCAGCAAGTCATCGACGCAGCCATTGCTCTGCTGCGTGTCGCAGCGCAAGAGCCGTCTATTCAACGAGTAGTTTTCACATCGAGCTCGACCGCGGCATTTGCACGCCCAGGCTTCATCGATCGGCCACTGAATGGGAGCGATTGGAATGAGGAGGCACAGCGGCGATATGAGGAAGCTGACGAGGAGACTAAGAAAATCCCGTTCAAGTGGGCCGCAATCAAGTATCATTATTCCAAGTATGCCTCCGAGAAAGCAGCGTGGAAGTGGATCGCCGAACATAAGGTATGTGTATGTCGCTGATTCCCAGAACGTCGTTCTGATCTGCACGGTGTGCGAAAATTTTGGTATGCGGGTCCGATAGCCAACATTTGACTTCGTGTCCCTAATTCCAAACAACAATTTTGGTCCCCTTCTTTTGGGTGACGTGCACTCTTCAGCACTCTGGCTGTACTCCCTGATGAAAAATGAGACGTCCATCTTCAAAATTCTCTTTCCGCGTAAGTCCCTCGTTCCTGCCGTCTTTACCAGTTTTGAGGACTACGTTAACATCAATAACTCTACCGCAGAATGGTTCATCGACACGCGAGATACCGGTCGCCTGCATGTTCTCGCACTTACTACGCCTTCTGTGGGCGGCAAACGCTTTTGGGCTGTGGCGTCTCCGTATGGGTGGAATCAAGTACTTACGATATTGCGGAGGACATACCCAGAGAGTACTTTCCCGGAAAATCTCCCAGAGGAGAACGGGGGCGTTGATACGCAGGAGATCGACAATAGTATTGCGACAGAGCTGCTTGGTGGGTGGATTGGGCTCGAGAAGTCCATTATAGACACAACAAAGACATTTCCGCAGTAATTTATGAGTCATTGAAAGTATGAGAATTCGGAGAATGTAAGCATTACGAGATAACAAGCTTATTATTACCGGTGTGAGAATTAGCTTACTTGTTGTATAACCAAGAAACGCATCGCCCATAAGCTTCAGCATACTGATCAGCGAGCTGGCGCCTCTTCGATCCGCGATTGAATATTAACTACGTGCTTTGATCCAAGGACCAGAGATGGATCGCGGGATAGACTCACATGAGTTTGAACTCTCTACCCCCTTTAAAACGTTTGACACAAATGCGTCGACAAAGTACTTGCGGTGGTAGGGTTCAGAAAATGAAGTTCGGCTTACGCCACCGGGTGCGCCCAACAATCGTGACATCCACGGAATGAACCACGGTGGAAGGAAGACATAGAATGTTTTTGAACGCATATTTTGAGAATTTCAGCGCACTCTTGGGCGAACTAACCATACACGTACTGAGATGCGTGATGCTGGCCAAGTAGACGGAGGCCAACGCAGCTGGGATACGCTCAAGCTCGTGTGTTTAGTTGAACGCGTCTCCGGAAACAGTAGCACGTGATCGCATTTGGCTCAGTTTCTGTCATGGTCTCGTTTTTCTGTGCATCTGTGTCTTATTCATTCAAGTCTAGTCTTGCTTGCTACTCACTAGCTTTGCGTTGCGTTGACGAGCATTTTGAACGATTTCAGCAGAAGTCATGTTGCCACGCGAAAGCTAACCAAGGTGTCTGACGTATTACAAGCTTTCAACGCCATGGCAGGCACACCTCGGTTGGTAAGAACCGCGTGCGCGTGGTCTAAATACTCAGAGGCTGTAGTAGCGAAGGGCGAATGAACTGCGTTCGAATGATACGACCATGGCACACAGGCAGGGAAGGAGGCTCATACAGTAGCGCGACTTAAAACAGCTGTGCGCAGGTATAAAAAGCTCTACTTCTTTCATATGCGCACCGTTTCCATGTCTAAGATTGTTATTTGCAGCCACGGTCTCTTTCTCTTGGTGGCTTCGGATACGACAGAGACCCCTGTTATTGTAACCCCTGCCTCGGCAGAGCTTCGACTAGCGGTCCTTCGATCTCGATGCTGAACCCCCCTGTCAACTCTTTACTGCTTCAATCCTCAGCCATGGACGGTAAGCCAAGTTACTCTGCTCGACACTGCATATAGCTACTATCTTCTACAGACTACAAGATAGCGGTGGGGGATCTATACAATGCTGTATATAAGGAGCCTGGTGCCTTGATACGGTCAGGGAATGTCGAAGTTGACAACTATGGCCACACCGACATCTCCCACCCCCTGTATGTCACCGAATTTACCGGATCACCGAAACATTGTGCCCTTTTTGAAGCCGTTTTCAATGTCTGACGGCGCTGAACTCATACGTTCTTCAACTAGCGATCGAGACTAACGTTCCCTTCCTCTATTTACTCCTGGCTTTGGACTATCAAACGTGAGCGGTAAGGACCTTCAGTCCATCTGTTCAGCCCTTTGGCTAAATAGCTTCTGTGTATTCTGTGTGCCTCAAGAAAGCTGCACTGGAGGCCCTGGATAGCGTTGCAAGGACTAAACCTAGTGCTCTGGCGCAGTCACCAAATGTCGAGGTCGAGCACGTTGATGGCGAGACTTACTTCTGTTCGTACAGTTGCCTCGATCTTTGATGCAATTCCACGTTTTTATGGCGATTGTGTTTCGATTTTGGACTCTATTTGCTCATTCGACAGAAGTACATCGATGCGTGGGACTCCATGATCAAAACGTTTGAGCGCGGCGCGATCCATGTTCATAGTACAGCTTGTGTCGTTATTGGACATCCAAGAATAGGTTAGTATCGTCTCGAGTCGCCTTTTCCTGAAAGATGATGGCGTCGAAGGGAAGCCACTGTTCTTGATCTACTTGCTTGTAGAACGTACCTAGACTGGCCTGCCAGTGGCTCTCCAAACATCTGATTCTTTTTACTTCGTCATTGATGGGCATGGGGTCTCACATGCAAGGTCAAGCCATGATAAAAATTGACTCGGATCCCATTCCAACATCTGGTGTCTATCCAATCCAAATGACAAAACATTGACACGTGCCCTCGCCTTTCGCAGGTGCATCACAGCGGCGCGAGTGATCTAGGCTACTGCACCTCACAGAGATCGCTGGAAGGATTGGGCAAAGTACGCTCATATGGATTAAGGACGGTCAAGTCATTCAATAAGCCATCATTTGTTCCTGATGCTACTGAGGTTATCGCAGAGCTGCGCAAAGCCTTGAATGAGTAGGCGCCTTCCACAAACTCTCGCAGTATGTCGGTTTATGCAGCATTGCGGGTGACCTACTGGAAGGTTATATGGACGCGTCTTTGAAGAGCGGACGAGAGTCTCAAGCTTCCAATTGGTTTACCCAATCTCAGGCTACTGTAGTGGGTGCCAGTGGGTAACGGCTGGCCCTCAGGACGTTTTCACAGTTGCTGCAGATCTCACATCCGCCCAGGTTTCGTTTTACTTTTTGCCCGGCGACAGAGACGTATCTCGGTATTGGTGCTGTTTTTTGCACCGAAGATCGTGTGTTCGACCGACCCTTAGTCGGACACATTCATCTGTTCAGTGGGGACTGGAGAAGCTAGACAGCGAGTTGGCCATCGAGCATGAACGCCTGAACAAGGAATGGTGTCTCATATCTGGCCGCGAAAGCCGGAACGGGGGATATGCGGTTGCTCAGGGCCAACGAGGGACTCGTTGTCGGGCTTGTGGGCGACGATCACGATTGGATACTGAGTCGGTCCCGCTGCCTTTAAGATGTTGGATGCCATGTATAAATCTTATGGTAACACTTTCGTCGCGCGAGTCACTACACTATGATCATGCACTTATCAAGACCTCTTATCAGGGTCTCCGCTGGATAGAGATGAGTGCAAAACGTTGGAGTTGTATTGAACGACTATGATCGTTTTTTTCTTCTTTTTGTTTGTATTATTAGTGAGATGGGCAATGTCAAGAGGAGGCTCGTCAAGTGTCGTTAGCATCTTGGAGGTGCATTGGCTGATCTGTTTCCAGATCTTGACTACCAGGTCCTTTGGTCTGGGAGCAGGTAGACTGGATCAGAGCGTCCCCACTCATGATCATGGCCGCCCCGTTTCGCTTGGAGGTCCAGCAACTTGACGAGCTTCCGTTCGTCATGTCGGAGAACAGCATTTCTTTCTTTGCCCCCTCGTATGCGACTGTCACCAGCGGGAGTATCATGTCCGCCTGTTCCGATGCTTTTCAGCCGCTCTCATTCCGAAACTGATCCCCCAAGTTTGCGAGCTTGTCGCCGGCCCTCGAATGGCTTGCCCACCGGATAGTTCGACTTCTGTCGCGATGGAGGGTCTTTATCCCCAGCGGCCACTGATGCAATAGTGCTTAGGTTGAGCATCCTGCTGTTGCTCGGGATTACGCTAATGCGCGATGTCTCAGTCTCGTTTCTTCTGTGGACAGGCGCATCCATATTACTGATTCCTTGTTGTATTGTACATCAGATGAGCTACATATTTAGGTCATCCCTCGGCGGTATTGGAAACTGCTGAGAGTCATCGCCTCCATAGAGACATCACAAATCGACATGCGAGTGTTTAGTCCCTGAGCGCTATCATTACTTGATCAGCTCCGCGTCGTCGTCGTACACAATTGTTGCTGGTCCTCTGAAAATTGATTGAGCAAGCAAGGAAGAAGGGGAAAAGAAGGTATATTACCGCTTTTCTATGCCCTATAAAATGCGGGAGGTTGTTAGTGAAGCTGCTGCGGCATGTCGATGGACTGGACTCACATTCTCGATCCAGCTAATCTGGGCCTTTAATTCTGTGAGACCACATAGAAGGACAACTTTGAAGACTTGGGCGTAGTAGGGCCCCTTTGGACCACGACGGCGAGTATGCGTTACCTGGGATGTATCCGCACACACCGTGCATAGCGTGGAGAACACCTCTGTTCGACTCCAGTTAATAGCTGGGAAAGCCCGGATACTTGTAATACTTGCCAGGCTCAGTGTCCATCCACTGAGGCTTCTTGGATCTGCCTCTGTAGGCCATGATTTCGCAGAAGATCCTGTTTAGTGCATGCGGCTCTTCCACCTCTTTCACGTAGGATTCTTCCATCTCTTGATCCTGCTGCACACGGGTACCCTGGAGATGGGATACCACATGAATCAGATATTGGGAAGTAGATGTCTATGATGCTGATAGGTTGCAATATAGGGCTTACTTTGGACAGAATGACCGAGTAGTGGTCAGACAGGGCCAAATGTCCAGATGGGCGAGTGGTCACTTTTGCACGTCGTTTATAGTGCTCGGGATCTGTCTCGTCGTAGTGCGCAGAACATTCAATGCCGTACGTGAGCCTTGTCATTCGGACGGCCACCCAATTGTTCAGATAATATGAGATGGCACCCTCGGCGACGGCCTTGTTGCTGTGGAATCAATGTGAACTGGATCCGCTGAGTCAGTCAGGGAACGCAAAAACGCACGTGTGTCTATCTGGACGGGATAGGTTTAATCCCAGCGTTTGCAGCGATAAATTAAGCTGTGAGAACAGCCAGGGGCTAGCCGCAAATCCCCCAACGAGGAATACCGTCTGAATGAAGAGATCGTCAGACAGGAATAAGTATAATCACACGATAAACGTACCCTAAGAGGGGTGGACGATGGAGCCTCCTGGCGCTGTTTTTGAACAGCGTCTATGATAGCTTCGATTGATGGCTGGAAGAAGGACGCGACTTCGGATCTGACACCGTTTCAGTAGGCGTTCGCGACGACTACGACAAGGCCCACCCTGCAAGTGTCATCTGCCCTCGGCGAATTTTGACGGCAGGATCGCTACTAGAAGAGCTCCCGAACTTGATGAAGGACGGCTCGTGCGCATTTTTGAAGATCGGCTTTGCAGATTTCTCAAAGTTCTCAAGCATCGATTGGATGTCTTCCTCATTGCCGAACGGCGAGCTTTTCAATCTGTCTATATAACCGGAGTCAAGCTTTCACAATAAGAACGTGTATGAGAACAAATTACCCTGCAAGAACCGGTCTGCTCTAACATTTACTGACATTGATCCTTGGACGATGCCTGGTAGACGATCAGTATTAGGGAACATCCAAAATTAATGCTTGAAGATACTCACAGTCGGGGACTGCCACTTCTTCAACAGATAGAGGAGACATGTCTTCAAACTTGTAGGTACTGAGATCCACAGTCCCACCGCCAGCGTCAACAACTATGACGCTATGTCCTTGCTAAACGAGAACGTCGGCCGCTGTTCTGTATGAAGATACGATGACTCACCTCGACGGCCTCCGTTACGAGACCACTTTGTACGCAGTAGTGAAGGCTGGCTTCGCCCTCTGTGACAAAGTGGATACGGCCATGATCTTCCTTGGTGTCAGGAATTAGGCCGGCCTGGATTGCTGCAGATCGCATCTTCGTTTGCTGATTTCCTTCCCAACCGTTTGGGTGGCTGAGCACAAAGTCGATCCGGTCTTCCAAAGAAGCCCACAGACGCTGTCCGTTCGCATGCGTTTCCGTAATGAACTTCCGTGCACAGTTATACAGGTACGCAAGAAAGTCAGCGAAGACATCGACAACCGTCTTCCCTTCAGGGAGAGGCTTCAATTTCTTCAAAATGTCGTCCCTAGTCTCCAAAGCTCGAGGACGAAGGTGTAATTTGAACCTGGTGGACGGTCAAGTTTCAGGCGGATGTTGTGGAGCGGTCGAAAGTCACGCACCATTCTACATAATTCCACCCCTCGAGCACAGCATTCAATGACATGTGCGATAAGGCTGCTTCAGCGCCCACAGCGCGCACTGTCCCGTCCTGGTTGTAGTACAGGATAGACGGAATTTTCGAATCACCCGCCGCATTTTCCTGACCCGGGAATCTGCAGCGGCGGTCAGCGCATAATGCTTTCGTAGAAGTCGGGCTGAATACGGCGACGTACCGTGTTACGCCCTGGATCCTAGGGACCTCCCCGGGGTCGAGAAGGGCATACGCGATACCGCTATATGTAGTACCCACGTCGAGCGCAATGACCAATTTGCGGGAAGCACCTTTGTACGGCTGAAGTGAGGGCATAGCAAGCGACAGACAAATTGGATTGGCAGGGAGGAGGAAGAGGAGGAAGAAATCTCCTGAAGCCAGCCTGTCTTTGAACTCGCAGAATCTGCTCGATTCCTGCCAAGGAGTGATCAACTCCTGTCGTTATAATCAGCCTATCTGTCCCGATCAGTGCTGGTGTATTTCCTTCTCCTCGGTTTTAAATTGACATACCGAGGGCCGTAACCCAACTGCAAAGGTTTATTCCTCCAAATTACTAAGAATTGCCACTGTGTGAAGGGAATAGCACTGCGGGATCAGCAGTCACGACAAGATTCCAAGAAACACATGCAGAACACCCTATCGCGAGATGATCTCACCCCTAGAGGCATGTGAATCGCAGCGTACCCCTTACCCACAAATAGAATGAGGGGGGGGGATTCTTGTGAGCGACCTCGCGTTGCTGCAGACTTCTTGAACTCGAGAAAACTAGCATTTATGCCCGGTTACTTCGCTTTCCGCATGATGATCGAATCTCTCTTAGCTATGACCGGCTTGCGTGGGCGGTCTGATGATGTCGCTCTGCTGAACGGATATGGACCCGGGCGTACGGATTCGAGACTTGATATGGCGACTCAAATCGGAGATCTGGAAGCAAAATTGCGAGAGAAGAAACATGAAGTGCAAGAGGTCAAGAAGAAGGCGGAGGAAGAGCTGCGGGAGACGAGACGTGAAGCTCAGCAGTTGCGGTCAGCAGCAGAAGACACGAGTCATAAGCACGAGACGCAGATTAATCAGTGGCAAAAATTGTCATCGAAGATGAAGGAGCAATTACATGGAGTAAAAAAAGATAATTGCCAACTGAAAGAACAAGTAAACTCGATGAAGGGGGAGCTTCACAGTGCTCAGCAGGTATCAGAGGAGCGACTTCGCGCATTGACCGCTCTTGAAAAAGTACACGCTAGTGCTAACGCTCTATTGGAAGTCAGAACATCAGAGCTACAAGACGCGCAGAAGTATTTGTCGAAGACAGACAACTTATCGGACGCGGACGTCCTTCGGATGTTTGAAAACCTCAACTCGCAGATTTTCCAGGTCGCCGCGCAGATAGCAGACTCTGTGCTTTATCAAGATCTAGCGAGGTTTCCGACATCACCGAGCATTTTGAGCGGAGTGAAGGATTTCACGGGGCCAAGCATGGCCAATATTCTTCAAACGCTGTCGCACTCCATCGATCCCTTCTATGTCCAATTAGCGCTGCAGGCATGTATGGTCACTTACACTAAGATGATCATCGAAACTTGGAACTTCCGTCACCATGATGACAACGGGCTGCTAGCAGAGATATATTTGCGCATGAGAAAACAAGGTCAGTGATGGGGAAAGGGACGACACAACCACCACTCACATTCCTCACGCAGAGAGCCAAACAGTGTCGGGAAGATGGCGCTCGCTCGCTCGACATTATCTTCGGAAAGCAAGGGTCGGAGATGAAGAGCTCGCCACCTTTCTGCTACACTACCTCCTAGGACACCTCTTGGATATACTCGCTCTATCCCACGTGCTAGGAAGTACTCAAGAGCTATACGACTACATCTCCTTACGCTACGGGGGTCCACTGCGGTCCGTCATTGAAGACAGTCTTAAACTCCATGATGCAATCGGCGAAGAGGTGGTAGCTTCAAATTTTGAGCCACTCGCAGTGGTTTGTGGGTCTGAGTTCCGTGAGGAGTGCATGAAAGATGAGTATTCCAGGATTCCAAACGAAATCGCCAGACGAGAAGCCGTCCTCTGCACCACGGCTGTGGGTCTTCGACGGGCAACAAAAGGTAGCCACGGCGATGATTCAATACATGAAACTGTATTGCTCAAGCCCGTAGTCGTGTTGGAGAGTATCAGACGAGAAGTCTAAGCTTGAAGCAAGGTAAGGATTTAGGCAACTGTGATTTTGCCGAGCGCGAATACTGAGTCATAATTGCATGCATTGCATCCCCGTCACAGGTAAAGACTATACATGGGAAAAGAACTATATGTGGGATCCGAAGGTGGTCAACTCGGAGGCAGCAGACGTAGTACCTTCCCACGCTCAACACTTCACTGTAATAGTGCAACCTTTAAGGAGAATTTGCGCAGAGGCAGACGCTTATATGCTCTGTTAAGCATTACGACGACATTGTCCTGAGCATATGAATTGTACCGTAGCAGACCACTGGGAGCAATGAGCTCGTATCTCTTGGCCCTTGAAATGTACTTATTCAATCATAGCACAGAGCTTTTGGCGCGGAGTGCCACCCCGAGTCACGGTCAAGACTAGCGGAGTTCCAAAATAAAAACGCGTCGGTGGCGCGAACGATGATATTCCAGCCTGCACTTCCGTGCTTGCTGAGGATGACTCAACCTCTCCGCAACTTGAGTAGCAATGTCACGATTCTTTCGCGTACCATATCTTCTGGTGTCGATTTCTCGGATTATCAACTTCGCAAAGATTTGTATGGTAGGCCGTCGCTTACATCCCCGCACCAGCCAGCCACTAAGCATCTCATTTTGTCAAGACCACATAAAGACCATCGTTCATCAACTGCGATCGGATGCCAATGTGACTTGTCCTCCCCTCGTCGTAATATATTACGCCATTCGTAACATTCTTGAGCCAACCTTGCTTAAAAATCAAATACTCGACTTGTTGACTCTCCTCGCTCATGTGAATGTGGCACGGAAACATACAATCTCAGCTACTAAAAACGTCTTGAACTGGAACACCGTTTATAAAACATGGCCCAAGGAGAATGTGCGGACGCTATCGCGCGCTGACCAGGAACTGCTGGAGGGCTTCGTCTACGAGAGTGTTGGTCTGCAGAGCACGTACAGAGACGTTGTTCATGCGTGCTTCAAGCTCGTGAGCTCACCTTTTGCTTGCTAAAAGGACTGCTGATTGTAGTGGAATGCAGGACATATACCACACTTTTGTTAGCGGAGCGTCCAATGAAGCGTGGTTAAACCTGCTCAAGATCTATTTTCCCCACCAGTTCGAAGGCTTCTGCGCCCAAGCGGTGAAGCAGGGAGCAGCGGAGATCAGTGCCTCCTGTCTCTTTCATTATGACCTCAGCGAGGAAGAGCACAAGAGCAACGATGATGTCGGCATGCAATGCGCACTGTTTGCTAGCAATGCTAGCTGCTACTTGGAAAGTCCAGCTGAGTACTGCAAGCAGCTGGGGTGAGTACCAATATTTGTGTCATGAGTCGCGCTGATCCAAACGTTTCCACAGAGTTTCTCCGGAATCCACATTTGAAGAGCTTTTCCCTCGTCCGAGCGAAGATGCCCTCCGAGTGTTAGTCTATTTGTATCTGGCGAAGGTCGAAGAGATAGTCAACACACTGGAGAGTATGTTTGGAAATAACCGAGAAAGATGATGCAACACGATGACAGTAAAGCACGCATTGGTTTATTTGTGGTGCATAATTCAATCTCTGCCTTTTTGGACAGGCCCACGAAATGATGCAACACCTCGGACAGTAATCACGATGGAAGTAAATTGAAGAATATTGCTGACTGCCGCATATATGGTCTGCAGAATACTTGCTGCAATGAGACTCCAGTCAATGATCATTGGCTCAGGGTGAAACATCTCACGGCCTGTATTGTGGTGGGTTAGTCAGTGGTACCACACACCTGGCTCAGTATCTAACATCAACCATCCCAGGTGCTTTCCCTTTCCTTGATACCATATGATCTCTGTTGATATCTTGTTCAAAGCTGTCTTCTCTTGCGCTTCCTTGTAGAGTTCCTGATATACTTCCTCATTCTCATGGATTTGGCCCCCTTTTAACACAAGATCAGTGATGAGATCTCTGTGAACTAGGATAACTATGTTGAGACCAAGATGAAAGGATGGTCTGCCAGAAGCTCAATAATATAAGGACAGCTAGAGTCCAAGATGAGCATCTAGAATATATTAAATAATAGACCATGTAGCTATATACCTAGAGTCTGAGATAAGCATCTGGAGAAGCCAGTATGCCTTGGACTCTGGAGTACAAGTCCCAGAGTAAAT